CCCTGGTTAAACACCCGGTAGGACACCGCATGCCGCCCCGACCTCGTCGCACTGTACGGCAGCTGCTTGCCAGCGGCGGAGGTGGCAGAGGTGGCGAGCAGCCAGAATTCCGAGATAGCCGCCAAGCGGACGGCGGCGAGGGCGCTTGCGCGGTGTGTGCTGGCGCGCGCGGTAACGGCGGGGGCGGCAGCGGCCGAGGAGGGAGAACAGCCGTCGCCGTCCGCCGCCGTCACTGCTACCGCTGCCGCCGCGGCAACCGCTGTCGCAGAAGCCGCTGCACTCCGTGATGGTGGTGATGGTGGTGCTGGTGGTGACCCAGCTCGGGGGTTATTCCCTCAGACGGTTGCCGCCCGGGTGCGGGGGGTGCTGGAACGGGGGGTTGGTTCCCCGCTAGGGGCAGCGGGACCCCGAGGGGGGGGGGGGTTCCGTCGGCCGGCACACCCGAACTCCCCACGGGGGCCTGAAAATGGGAACTCCATTTCCGCGCCGGCCCTTTCGAACACAGACACACACAGACACAGACACAGCTCCCCGTTCCCCCCCGTATTCCTCCAGACTCTGGAGTTCCGTCGTAACGCCCACGGCAAGCCCCATCTGATCGTTCGGGCGCCCCTCGGGCCCGTACTGCATCACAATCTCACACACACACACGACTTGGCAGGTAGGCTGCTGGGGAGGGAGGGAGGAGGGATGTGCTAATGCTGATATTGATGTTGGGGACACCGCAACTTTTTACGGAGATTTACGGAGGCGGGTGGGCATTATCACCATCGTCATCATCACCATCATCATCGGGTCAGGCACCGACAGAAACACGACAACACATAACGCAACGCAACGCAATATGATATGTGTCTCTTGACTGCTGTTGCTGCTGCGGCTGTTGTTAGTCCGTGTGGGAGCCCTGTGTGTGCTGGGGAATGGTACATGGCGGCTCCCCCCCACCCCACGGTGTTTCCAATGATGCATGCTGATCACCCGACTGACGATGGGCGGGTGGCTGGCTGGGTGGGGAAACGCACTGCAGGTGTGGCGCTGCTCCGGCAACCGCAGCACCGGGAGACGGAGGCTTCTTCAGCCGCGTCAACGACACCTGGTGCCGTACACGTATCGTACGGCGTCGGCCTGGACGTCGAGCGATTAGACCGAGTCCCCCGGTACACTATGGCGCTGGCTCGGAGGCGGCTGGCGGCGTCCGAGGTTCGCGACCTGGAAGGTGTGTATGTATGTATGTATGTGTGCGCCTCTCCGGTGTTGGGTACCGGGTGTTGTGCATTGGGGTTGGGGGTTATAGGGGTTGGGGGTCTGAGTGAGCTACACACACACACAGGTGGAGCGGACTGCGGTGCGGCGCGGTGCGGACTGTTGGGACGGACGTCGTCCATGGAGTTGCTGCGCCCTGAGGGCTCCGGAGCAAAGCGTGTGGAGTTCTTGAGGCAGCAGTTCTTGATTTGCTGGTCTTTTCCCCCCTTCCCTCCCTTCACTCGTTCGTGGTTCGCCTTCCCACCCCTCCCTACGGTGTGTTGCCCTCCTCTCCCCTCCGACCCCTCCGCAGCTCTTTCCGGGGAGGAGCGAGCTCGTCGTTTCATGTGGTTGTGGACTCTCAAGGTGAGGTGCCGTACTAGTACATACCGCACAACACAACACAACACAGAGCACCCAGCACCACAGATCTGCACATTGCGGGCCATTACAGCTCGATGTTGCGACGTCTTCCCCTTTTGCTGTCCCCTCTCCCTTCTTTTGGCGTCCGGGGGCCCGAGAGCCGGGAGAGCGACAGCATAGTAGCCAGCACGTGTGTGTTTCACGTGCCCTGGGCCCCCCCCTGGTTGACCCGCCCACCCCCGGGGCTGCAGGAGGCGTACGTGAAGGCCCGTGGCACGGGTATCTCCGCGCCTCCGGGACTTCGGGGCTTTGCAATCGGTGAGCGTGTTACCCCACCTCACCTCACCTCACCACCGCGGGGTCCTCCCGCCCCTCATCATCATCAGCAGCAGCAGCAGCAACAGCAGCAGCAGCAGCAGCAGGAACCCCAATATATTCCGGTGCTGTCCATTCATGCGGTATAGCGCTCGTGTGTGAATGTGAATGTGCATGTGGGCAGGTAGGTGGGTAGGTGGGCAGGTAGGTAATAGGTAGGGTATGTAGTACAGCCTAGAGGGGGGAGGAGTGATTATGGCACCCCGCCTCCAAGTAAGACACGCAACACGTAAACGTGCCTTCCGTGTACAAGGTGGCCTCAACATCTCCCTGCCGTACACGTTACTGTACTGCAGGTTTCGAGGATATGCCCCCAGCCTGTGAGCGGCATCTGTCAGCTGTTTGCGGCGGCACCTACCGCTTCGCTCCGGGGGGGCTTAAAGCCATCACACTGCAACACACAGCTCCTGGAGGCAGCAGCGCACAGAAATCACCTGATTTGATGGATGGACGCAGCAGCAGCAGCAGCAGCTCGACTGTTCGCGGCAGATCGCAGGACCCCGCTGACATTACCACCACCACCACTGCTTCAGCCTCAGCCTCCCCCGGTGACGGTGTTGGCGACTACTGCCATTTCGAGGGCCCCCAAACGCACTTCAGCTTCTTGCTCTTCCAGCCCACCCCACATCACGTGGGTGCGCTGTGCCTGGCGGTTCATCCGGCGAGTGCCGCCGCGGCTGCCGTACGCACCGCCGCGGTCTCATTGGCGTTACAGACCCACGCAGATGGGCCCGTCGTCCGCGCCGCCGCCAGCGGCCTGGTGGTCCCCGTGAGCCGCCCTTCCGCCGCGACTGCTGCTTCCGCGGGGCGAGCTCCCGTCGGGTCGTTGCGGGACGAGCCGGACGGCCTTGCAAGGCGTAACGCAATACCGTCGGGGTGGCGATCGGGTCGCGGCCATTTCCTTGCTGGGGTAGCGGGAGGAGGGGATGAAAGAGGAGGGGGAGGGGGAGGGCCACCCATGTCCGATTGTGGCGGACCCGTGGGTCCCTATGGCTGTGGGCAGGAGGGGGGTTTGTTAAGGGGAGAGGCGCTGGGGAACCATTTGGCTGCACTTGTGAGACACTGGTGGTGCGTGCCGCTGGAGGTGGAGGGGAGACTGGGTGCCGGGGAGGTGACGTTGCTTGGGGCGTCCTTGGATTTCCTCCCCCCAGATTAGCTGAAGGGGAGAGGGGGATGAGCGGAGGAGGAGGAGGCGGGGCAGGTACGTGTGTGAGGTGTCAGCTGGGTGGTGTGAGAGTGATTGGCGGTTGGTGGTTGGTGGTTGACACGGGTGTGAGATGATGTGCTGGATCCTATGGCCCCGGGCGGCCTCGGGTCCTCTGGCTGGGGGGCCTGGAGTGAGGGGGTGGTTGGGGGGTTTGAGATCAGGCGTGCTGAGAGTTCGTGTACGTATACGTGTACGTGTATGTGTTTGCATGTTGGGTCCCTAATTCCAGGAAATGTGTGAGATGGGTAGAGCCGTGCAAAGGAGATGAGAGTTTTCGCCCTGGGGCGGAATGCGGATTGGGATTGGCGTGAGAGCGGAAGGGTTTGGAAGACGTTTTTTTAACGCTTGGGAATGTCTTTTAATGGGCATTAATGGGAAGTATCGAGTACGCATTATGGAAAGTAATCCTTACTTTACAGTACATTGTACATGGGTAGGTGGGTAGGTGGGGGTCACGAAGAACTTCAAAATGTCCAGGTCCAGACCCGAGCCCAAATCAAATGTGTACATGTTTAGACTTATATGCACACACAATATATGTGTATATATGTATGTATGTGCGCACTTTAAAGTGCGTGGTTTTGCTTTCCCCATCAAGACGGGGGGTCACACCGCACCAACCCCCGACCTAACCACACCACCACCGCTACCACCATCACACACGTCTTCTTCAAGTCATGAATGCGACGAGCCGTTACCGCATCCCCGCCCCTTCTTCTTCCGCAACACGCCATACCGACACATGCATACATACATAATACATGCAAACAAACATACACCAGAGCGTGAAACCAGCGGGTCGACAGACAACACTTCACGCACGCACAGGCGAATCTCTTGACCCGTCCTGCCGTGTTAGCCCCTTTCGGGAAACAGCACACTACGAAAATAATACAGCAGCAGACAGACAGACAGACGATGACACAGCAGCAGCTGCAGCGGGCTACGAAGCAGCCGGAGGGGACCCACCACGAACACACACGCCACAAGAACAAGTACGAGAGCAGCAGCAGCACCATCACCAGATGACACCACCACCGTGCCCGCCAAGTAGCTTAACATGGAACACATGCAGTCGACGCAACTGCGCTCCTCCGCTTCTCAGCGCAAACCGCCGCTCTCAATCCGCCACACGCCTTGAGATCTAGAGAGCCTGCCTCGCTAGCAGCAAAATCACCCGCACCTAACAAAGCTACCCAGGAATGCGCAGCACTCGCCCCCTCCCTCCCCCCTCTCCGATCCCCTAGCAGTGTGCAATGCACCTGCAGCAGTCAGTCTGGGAACACTGCAGCACACTTTGCAATGTTGCGTCGGCGCGCAGTTCCCCAACTACCATCACATCACATCAACACCGGCATGCACCGCGAGCCCTATACCTCCCGGCAGCTGTGTACCCACAATGGAGGCCCCAGACAGCCGGGGAAGCAGGAAGAGGAGGGGAGGAGGAGGAGACAGAACAACAACAAGAGCCGCAAAGACGGCTCACAACGAGCCGACCCGTGGCTCCGGAGGCGGTGACCGCGACCTCGACAGCCCCCCCCACACACACACCCTGTGTCACTTCCTTGGGGGACCAGCACCAGCACCAGCACCAGCAGGAGGAGGAGGAGGAGGAGGAGGATGATGCTGCCGAGGTGTAGCCCGGGAAAAGGACTGCCGGACGCAGGCTAACCGCGGGCGGCCCCCTCCACCTCTACAACCTCCTCGTTCGATTTGGATATCTTCTCCTCCTCGGCGGCAATCGTCTCGTTACCCCACCTCCCTGTCATTCGAGTCTTAGCCAAACCAGCGTGTGCGATGAGGACGGCAAGCTGCCGGCCCCCAGCTGCCGGCAGTGGCATCTCCCCCTCCTGCCTCTCCCCTCCTCGCTCCCCCTGTGTCCCTGCGCCTCACAAACATACATACACACGCGTGATACCGCGGAGCAAAACACTTCATCACCTCCTCCTCTCCCACTCTCACCAGCTCCACCATCACCAGCAGCGCCCAAACAGCTGACCGCTGCCTTTCAGCGCCGCTAACCTCCAAACCTGTACACGATGTACACGCCAAACAATGCCCCAGTGCTCACCACGGGATGAGCAGCAAACAAACTAACAGACAAATAAACGAACATACACACGCGCACCTGTCATACCAAAACACAGCCACACAGTTCCAATCAAAATCCACAGGACGGCGAGCAATCAATTTTGCCATATCGATGGGTCATGTGCGGTACGAGGCGCTAAGCTCATGATGATCCTCATTAATGTCATATCACACAGTTGCGGAGGCCCGTAGTGGGCTCTTTCCAGCGGACCAGATACGCTCCGGCGGGTGCTCACACGAGACGGGAGAGCTCACGTCCCGCCGGGGCCGGGGCCGGGGCCGGGGGCGACACGAGGGCAGAGGAGGACAAGCCACCGCCGCAGCAGAAAACGAACCACGCAGTTGCAGCAGTGGGGCAGCGGCGCGGCCGCCTCCGCCTAAACATCCCCAACTACACCCCCATCACCACCACCGCCAGCACCACAACAACAACCACAGCTGCCCCCAAGCCGATTCGGAAGGCTGGCGACCTCTAAGAAAACCCAAACAAAGGCGCTGCGTCACTGCCTCCCCTCCCCTCCCCGCACCTCCCCTGGGGTCGCACCTCCCTCCCTACCTGCCTACCTGATGGCGCGCACGTGATCACGCAATCGTGGAAGTGGCAGCACAGCCCCTCAATGGGGCTCCCAATGCACACACGTGCACGACAATGTGTGGTGGTTGTATGTTTGTATGTGTAGTGGGGGAGAGACTGGGAGGATGGGGTGGAGGATGGGGTGGCCTCCCTCCCTACTCTGCAGGATGCAGAAGGCTTAAAAAATGGTGAGTAAACGGTTCACCAAAAGTGCAAAAAACGAACATCAAAACCGGGAAATCTGAAATGCACATCGGACACACCGATTGGCAGCAACGCAGCAACACGCAGCCCGCAGGCGTCATGCTGCCAAAAACAGAACAATGCTTTGTAGGGGGTGCCAGCTGATACCGCTACAGCTACCGCTACTGCTGCCATGCCATGCCATGGCTAACCTTTTTACCACCGCCCACAACGCCGCGTTACACCGATTGCGGGGTGGCCCCGGTGGCAATTCGGGGGTGCCAGCAGCTCTGCCGGCCTGGCGGCGCCGTGCCGGACCGGGCGGCTCAGTGCTGGGCGGTACGGGGGAGGATGTGGCGACAGTGAATGGCACTGCAGAATGGAACGAATTCGGCGAATGTGAATGTGAATGTGAGTCTTCCTCCTCCCCTCCTGAGAGACGAGTCCGCGCTCCTCCTGACGCAGCACATCACATCACAGAGATCCACCTCGCCGAGGTCCTCTTCCTCCTCCTCTTCCTCCTCCTCCTCTCACCCCCATTCCGCGGATGAGAAGGAATTTGAGACTTCAGGAAATACCCAAGAGGTACTTGGATCAGAATACCATCGGTTGCAAGATCCCGCAAAGGTCCGGAGAGGATCCTCTTCCCCAACCCCAGCGATGATAATGTAATTATAGACGGTAGGGTACGGTACGGTACGGTACGATACGGTACGGCAGGGGGAGCGGAACGGACGTAGGGTGACCGAGCGGCGTGAGTGTGTGAATGGGCACCCATGGCGAGAGTGAGAGTGAGAGTGAGAAGCCAGAGGGGCTTCTCCGCAGCCGCTGCCACCGCTGCAATACCCTCTTCCCGCCCCCTTCCCGCCGGCACTCCACGTCGCCACCGCCGCCCAGGACTCCACGACAACAATAACCACCACAACCACAACCACAAACGAAGCGGCGCAACGACTGCACCAACACGACAGCACCAGCAAAACACAGGAGCACTCCCTCCTCCAACACCCGCATCACCGACAAACACAGAAAAGTGGCAATTGCCATAAACCTTTTGTCACATCACTCTCCGCATCGTCATCTCGACAGCAATAGTGAGCGACCAGCAGCACGAGCTCGACCCGGATTAGTCTGAGGGGCACTTAGGGGAGTCAGTGCCGCGACACAAAACAAACAAACAGACAAAAAGAAATATGCAGCAAACGCAACCAATCATGCAAATCGGGATTAAGAGACACCAGGCGGGACCAGCTGACTATCAAACAGCGCAAAAGAACAAAAGGCATCGCGCCACTGCCGTACATAATCATAATTTTGACAACAGATACCCAGAGGCTACATAGGCAGAGTAGCACCACCACCACCACCGGCAGCAGCAGCAGCAACAGCAGCAGAAGCTAAAAGACACCCACAACGCGGCCAGCAGCGCTAACGCCCCACATAGGTTCCTCAGAGGGGGCCCCCCACTACCGCTGACACCAACAGGACAGTGGGGGGGACAGAAACCTGGAGGGACATGTACCACGGAGTGAAACCAACCTGTTGTGGCAGCACCCAATCTGAGTGCAGCAACACGCCACACGGTCCCAGTGCCCGGGAATTGGCGGGCAGACGGGGCGCCGACTTCCTTGGGGGGTATGTATGTATGTATGTATGTGTGTGTGTCGCTCTTTACTCGGCCGGCGAAATCAAAAGGGGCCGTAAAACGCACTACATGCTCTCATACAGCTCCGCCATCCGCCCGCAGAGCAAACGAACACCGACCACACATATGTGTGTGTTTGTGTGCCTTTATGCAGTGTCTTAGTCCCAACCTAACAACAACCACAAGTCACATGAAATGCCAAACAAGGCCAACTGGTCAGCCGGTTGGCCAGTTAGAGCAAAACAGAGAGGGGGAGGAAGAGAGAGCACAGCGAGCCGAGATGGCGTCAGCGATTTGACATAAACAAACATGGTAATGGCTGGATGTATACACATCTCACCCACCCACACACAAAAAAAACGCGGACGGATTTCAGCTGAAAAGAGTTTCGTCCCGAGAATCATCACCATCTTGGTCATAATAATCATGGTCAAAGAAGTAGGACGGCCGTGGAGCACCGGCAATGGTGCAATGGTGCAAGACGACGGCGGCCCCCCCTCTCTTTGGATTGAGCTCCCTCCCTCCCTCCCTCCCTCCACCCCTCCCTCCACCCCTCTAAAAGGGTATCATATGGCGGACAGCGGCGGCCGCGGAGGCACTAAATTATGCGGTGGACGAATGTGTGGCGGCGGAGTCGCTGCCAGCCACAACGAAACCTGTCACTCCAACAACGCAGGTAGACTAGTAACCGCGGCCGGCAGCACACAGACATGTGCCCAGTCTGTCTGTTTGTCTGTCAGACCCAGTGAGGCTAAGTACCCGCCTCCGTAATACACACCCACACACCCCTTACAGGCACCAGGGAGGAATCTGATCGTCATCATCATCATCATCATCATCATCATCATCATCATCATCATCATCATCATCATCATCACCATCAGACGGTAGTGGTGGTGGTGGTGGTGCTGTCAGCCAGTTTAAGACATCACCGTTGCCGCCCGGCGGGGGGAGGGGGGGCCCGCATCAGGCGGCCCAAACCGCCAACAGCCCCAGCAGCCCCCTCCTAGCACACGTCATCATTCACACCTTGGCAACTGCTACCTGCGGAACCATAGCAGTAGCAGCACACCACCACCACTAGTGAGGCAACACAAACACCGAGACACAGTCATGCAGTGCTGCAGCAAAACTCCCCCCTTTTACCGGTAGGTAAAAAGCCGTACCGCGGTTTGCATTACCTCTTGCGTATATCACATGACCTTATTCGCTACTTGGCGCGGAACTTATTACCATTGTTTTATTTTGGTGGCGGTGGTGGTGGTGGTGGTGGTGGTGCAGTGGCGTCGCTATTCCGTCCCGCGGGAACATGGGTCCCCATCCCCCAATATAGGATGCCGTGGACCTCCATTCTCCGCCATTCACAGACAGACAGACAGACAGACAGACAGACGCACTGCAATCTTGCTCCACCACCACCGGAACCCGTCCACACGCGAAAAACACGGCCGTGGCCACCACGACGACACGCCGGCTTGCTTGCGTGTTCTCTCCGATCGAACCCCACGCCGCCGCTTCACACACAGCGAAGCCACCACCACGTGATTCATCACCGAATTTTGGTGGTGGTGGCCGTCGTGTCGTCATCATCATCATCAATCGCATGGTAATCATCATCACCATTATCATCATCATCATCATCATCATCATCATCATCATCATCATCATCATCATCATCATCATCATCATCATCATCATCATCATCATCATCATCAGGGTTGCCATCATCACATTGCAAATTTATCATGCGCCCAACTGCCCAACATCTCCCCCAACAAGAACACGCGACCCCCCCCCTCAATCGTCTGAGACCCACACTCCGGACCGCGAGGGCCCCCCGGCCGCCAACACCCCGGCCGCCTGGCTACCCGCCGCTCCACCACCACCGGAACAACTCAGGCACCCACATCAGCTGCCGCATCCCAATTTACATCCCCCCGGCCGCCCCCCCCCCAATATCGACTTCTCAACAACAACAACAAAACACCGCACCGGACCTATCTCAAATCACCACGATCACCACAACCAGCAGAGCGGCAGGTCGTCACTACGTCACGTGGCGGCAAATTGCTGCTGTTGCGCATGCGGCAGCGGCGGCTGCGGCGGCTGCGGCGGTCTCTTGCCTGTCGCGCCGCTGCCTTGCCCCAGCGGGAGCGACCACGTTTCACGGCGCGCACGTTCACGCGCACGCTGCTCCGCCGCCGCAGCGGCGAGGCACTCATCAAGGTACAGCGCCGTCGAGACGATGGCGGTGGTAATGCCCCCGCCGCCGCCGCCGCCACCGCCCCCGCTAACGCCCCCGCTAACGCCTGCGTCGACATAGCCCCCCTCCTCCACATCATCCGTCGCCAACGTGCCGCCGCCGCTGCCGCCGCCGCCGCCGCCCCCGCTGGCGCCGCCACTCAGGCCGCTGAGAGCGGCTATGGTGGCGCCGGTGCCATTGCCTGTGGCCCTTTGCAGCGCGACGAGCTGGCGGCGGAGGCATTTCTTCGGAGCGCTCTCCGTACCGCACTTGCCTACGTCAGCGCCAACGTGGTCCGGAGGGGTCCGGAGGGGTATTGGTTGCGCCATCAGGTGGTCGTCAGACGGGGCCGCCGTGTGCCGGGGGTCACCCAGGTGAGGTGGGGTGAGGTGTGTGTTTTGGTACAATAAACGTTACGACGCAACCAGCAACGGGGGTTACAGGACGCAGACCTCAACAACTGAAAGGAGGCAAGTATACGTAGCTCCCGGCTTTACACACAGCCTGCTGAGGGACTTATGGGATGTAGGTTGAAAGATGTGCGAAGTACGAGATGGCAAATATGGGGGTTACAGGCAGCGGTGGATGCGTGGGAGGTCGGGCAGCAGCCGCAGGGCAGCGCGAAACCCATGTTGGTGAGGAAAGAGCGCCGATATGTGGGGATGTGTGTGTGTGGGGGGGGGCCATGGGGCTGGGGGGAGGGGAGGGCAAACTAGAGGTGCGGGTATTGAGCCGCCACACGCGGTGGAGCTTTCCGTTGGAGAGCGTTGACGAGTCTCACCTCGGCGCTACCGGCAGCACCTACACCCACCCACCTACCCTTGCGTTGGATGACACAGACAGCGCAACGCCCGGAGTGGCCCGCGCGACCTGTGGTTCCGCCCAGCAGCTCCGCCTCCACCTCCCGCGACCTGCACAGCAACCCCAAATTGGGTCGGCACGAGACGGACACGCGGGTGGGGGATGGGGTTGGGTGAGGGGTTGGGGGCCGAGACGACCAACCGGCCCTAGAAGCCCGTATCGATCGATAACCACCCAGCATCTACAAACAGCCGCAGTAGCAGTAGCAGTAGCAGTAGCAGTAGCAGTAGCAGCAGCAGTACCTTATTTACCACCCTAGTACCCCCACCCCACCCCACCCCCATACAACCGAGCTTCATATTAAGAGGGACTCATTACGGGACAAAAACATGTCGAGGAAGCACGCATATGGCACATCCCTCCCTCCCTCCCTCCCTCCCGACCCCCTCCCGACCCCCTTTACCCCCTAAAAATGCTCAAAACCCTAGATTACTCGCGTGCCAACCTCATTCGTTCGCCACCATCACTTCCTCCCGGCTCGATTCTCCTAAAAAGCGCATCTAAACACACCGACAGACTTCTACCTACATACATTAGATAACGCGCAGCACCACCCACCCGTTCTGCGCAATCTTAGACAGCGTCAGGTCCGCGGCGGGATCCCCGCTACTGGGCACGTAGGGGTTGTGCAGCAGCGGCCGACTGGGGAGCAAGCCCTCAATATTCCGGGCCGCTCGAGGTAGCATGTGCGCCAGCATGCCGCCACCGGCGCCGCCGCCAGCAACAGCAGCAGCAACAGCAGCAGCAGCAGCAGCGGGGAACGGCGGCGGCATTTGGAACTGCGGTGACGGCGACTCGTCGCCGACGGCGGCGCCGCCGCCGCCACGCACAAACGCCGTACCCGTGGAGCCGCTTGCGGTGCTGCCGCTCACTCGGGCTGGTACTGCCGGCATCTGGCTACTGCTCAGATGCGGATGATGATGAGGATGATGGTGCCGCGGCCGGCCGCCGCCGCCGCCGCCGCCGCCGCGAGTCGGCTGTGTCTGAGCCGCTGTCGAGCCGGGGGGGCTCCCCACAGAGAGCTCCCCACCACCGCCCTGCCTGGGCCCGCCGCCGCCACTGATATTGGCACTGCTGTGGTTGTGATGGTGGTGATTGTGGTGTGCGGCCAGCAGCATCGCCGCGACGCCCTCCGGCAGTGAGCCCCCCAAGTGGGGGTGCTGCTGCAGCAGCTTCAGTGCGGAGGCGTGGGAAAGGTGCAGACCGCTACAAGGGTCCAGACCCAGACCCAGACCCAGACCCAACGTGTCTCCCGGATGGGCTTCAGCGCCGCCGCCGCTGGCACGCAACATGGGTTGAATAGCGCCCATCGCCATGGGCAGCGGAGGCAGCGGTGCTGCGGGCGGACGTAGTTGTTGCTGCTGTTGCGACGACTGGGGCAGGGAGGGGTGAGATGGATCCGTTGCCGATGTGTCTTCGCTGCGCCCCATGGCGATCTGCTGCAGGTCGCCCGCAGCTGCTGGTGCCGTTGCTGCGTCCTCGGCTTCGCCTTCGCCTCCGGCTTCCGGCGGCCCCCGGCGGCGTTTGAGCGCCAGGTGCGCGCCAGAGCCCGCCCCCTGGCCTTGGTCATGTGCTGCCAGCCTGTTGTTCAACGTCGCCAAGCCATCCGAAGCCACCGAGCTCATCTCCAGCTGGGCGCTGCTCACGCCCGACGGCGCCGCGGCCAAACTGCCGTACATGTTGGCCAGCATCGCTATCCCACCGGCAGCTGCCGTAGCAGCGGTTACAGCCGCCGCAGCTGTGGCTGCAGCTGCGGCCTGTCGCCGCTCAAAGATGTGCGGCGCGCCCTGAGGCCAAGGCACCAGGCCATTAGCCAAGGCCGCGGCGGCAGCGGCGGCGGCGGCCTTGGCGGTACTGCCGGCCTCGCTGTCCGCTGGTGCTTCGCCGCTGCCGCCACCTCCACGCCTCTGCGCTTCCATTGACGGGCGCGAGCGCTTCGTCGGCCCCTGCTCCTGCTGCTCCTCCCGCTGGTCGCCAGCCTCCGCCTCCGCGGCCTGCTGCTCGCCATCAGGGCCTCCCCCAACAACACCGCCATTGCCTTGATCATTATCCGCCTGTGGATCAACGGCCGTTGCCACCGCGGCGATGTCAGCCCCTGGCGGCGGCGGCGGCGGGGGGTGCGAGGCCGCTTGGGGCTGGCGCTGCGACTGGTTTGCGGCGCCGCTACTCGCCTGCAGCGACACATCCGCTCGCGTTCGGAGCATCATCAAGGCGGGGAGGCTGCTCGCATCTGCGGCGACGCGCGATGTGCGCTGCGCCGGCGGCGGCAGCGGTGGCGGCGGCTCGCCGGCGGCGGAGTTCCCTGGTGGTTGAGGCGGCGGCGGCGGCGCCGCCGCCGATAGTGGCGGCAATACAATCCTGCGCCCCGCTGCGATCTGCAGAGATCGCGGCAGGGGCACCTGTTGCTGCTGTTGGCCTTGAGACTGCGTCAGGGGCAGGTGGGCTGCTCCTCCCGTCGCTGTGGCGGCGGTGACGGCGGCGGTGGTGGTGGCTGTCGTGGTGGCAGTCGATTGGGAGGCGTCCTGAGATGGCGCGGGCCGTAGCCTCGATTGCGGCATGCGGCCCTGCGGTCCGGTAGATGAGGTGGTGTGGGCCGCTGTAGGGGCACCGCCGCGGTGGAGCGGACAGGCCATAGAGTACGGCTCCGCCTGCGGCAGCGCGGGAGAGTGGTTGTGGTGGTGGTAGGGGTGTGGGGAGAGGAAGGGGGGAGTGCCGTGGGGGGAAGCGAGGGGAGCAAAGGGCCGAGTATCGGGATCTCACGTCCGCCGGGTGGTGGTGGAGAGGGCGGGCGGGCGGGCGGGTGGGGAAAAAAGGGCATGATGGGGCGAATGAGCGGGTAACCGTGAAAGGGGGGGAAGGGGCTCTAGCTCCAGACGGGCGGAGGAAGGACAGCCTTTGTGGATTATGAAGCCGTAAAAGCTCGGGAGACTGCACGAACCGCCTCCACCTCCACCTCCAGCTTTAACTTCAATGAAAACAACGAAACAACAGACACATCCACAGGCGCAGCTAACAGCTGTGCAATGGAAATGACTTATGGGATGCGAGCTGCTCGCCGCGACCGAGGACGTTGCCGGTATGTATTCAGTGGCTATAACAGAACAGCTCGCGTTACATATGATCAGGTGACATGTGCGAGCCACAACACAACGTTGTCCAGCAGCTCAGCAAAAACCCCCAACTGGCCACCCTACATGCCTCTACATACAGACTGACGAGGTCAGCCCGAACACCGACCCTAAGTCCACCCCACCCCGCCACTCACCACCAACGTGGCTCCGGCCTCCATGGCACATGGCAGGTGGTACGTGCGGCCGCACCTGGCGCTGCAACACGACAAAGTGGCTCCGGAGCGGCCGCAATGCGCGCAGCGCTGCCCACGACTGCGCTTGATCACCGCAGGGACGCCGTACTGCATCAGCGGTGGGTTCCGGAGCGGCGTGGGGGCGGTATGGCGGCGGCACCGGTAATGATAATGATGATGGATGATATTATTAGGGGACATTGAGGACATGCGGCTAAGTGCCCAAGCTACTGCCGGCACAAAAACGGCTTCTGCTCGCCGTTCTGGCTTTCTCCCCCAACGGCGCACAACACAAACCCCAAGCATGCACTCTCCCCCCCCCCCGGGGGCCCCTCACGTGCCCAGCTCAGCTCACCATGGCGCCTCCAATCACAAACACCTCCGCAGACCACAGCGCGCACTGCGAGTGAACCAGCACCGTCAGATGCCCCGAGTGGCCCGCGGCGGGACCAGCCCGCACCTCCACCAGCGGCCCCAGACCGCACCCCGCCTGACGCGATGTGCGGGACGCTTCAGGAGACGGCCTCACCACCGCGGCCTGCTGCTGCTGCTGCTGCTGCTGCTGCTGCGTGGCGCATGATGCGGCGAGCCCCGGAGGTAGGACGACGATATCCGCCGAGTCGCCCTCGCTCTTAACTTCCACCTTGGGCGCAGCTGCCGCGGCTGCCGGCGGCTGCGGCGCACCACCCGCTGCCGGCGCCGCCGGCATCTCCGACGGCGCCGGAGCTTCCGCCTGGACGACCCCTGATGAGGACACACATAACTGCAACTTATTGCAATTCGTTGCGACGACGTCCGCGGCCTCCGTCGGGTCGCCTGCCATGCTGCCACCAGAGCTCGTGCCAGCGGTACCTGTGGCCTCTTCCGGCTGAGCAGTCGACATCCCGCTGGCGGTGGCCTTGGCGGTGCCACCGCCTCCGCCACACACAGTCCCGGGATCCGAGGCATACGCTGCCGCCGCTGCCTCCGACGGCGGCGGCGGCGGTGCTGATACACCCGTGCGCACCAACCCGGCTTCTCGTTGTGTTGCCACCTCGGGGCCGCCCTGGTCCACCTGCACCACCTGCACCACACACACAGAGATGCACCCCCCCGTGGCTCAGCACTAGGTTGCGGCTAATAACCTGCATGTGGGCCACCCGCCCCGCCCGCAAACGGAAGTCCAGACTATACACGAGGAGAGTCAGACGGCAACACATCAGCCACAAGTAGAGCTTTTGCCTTCGTCGTCATTCGCAGCTGCTCACCGTCTCTGGGCCACAGACGCCAGCGGCCGCCGTAGCCGTAGTCGTAGCCGTAGCCGTAGTCGTCGCCGCCGCCACGGTAGCGGGACCCCCCACCGTAAGGATGCCCGGAACCGCCTTCGCTTGCACTGGTGACGGCAGCGCGTAACCCGGCGTGGGCGGCGGCGGCGCCAGAAGAGGCGAGGCCCAGCGGTGGCACAGCGCGCAGCGGGGGCAGTCGGGCGGCATGCCATCATCCTGGGGCGCGTCCTCCACCTCCAAGGGGGCAGTCCCGGCCCCGGCCGCAGCCCCGGTCGCATGGGCGGCACCGGCCGGGGGGTCCGTGAACTCGCCCCCGGTCCCGGCAACCGCCTGCGGCGACGTGGAATGGAACACACCGAGGGATTTACTTAGCTCCCGGATTCGGCCGACTAGCAAGTCATGTGACCATACCGCTACGTTGAGGCGCTCCCAAGTCCTCCGTGACCCCCACACCACACCACCATTATGTGCGGTGACACGAGGGACATGGGGGTGAGGAGCGCCATGGTGGCGTGGATGGTGAGACGCAGGGCGTGCAGGGCGCCGCACGCGATATGCCTCGGCCAGTACACAGATGTACAAGTAGCTGTCGTTAAGCGCACTGTACATTGGCGGGCGGGCGACGCATGCAACCGCATACACAGACACGCTACACAGGCGGTACGCGCAGGAAAACACCCTACACTACGAACGCAAGTCAACCGCATCGCTTACCTCGTAGTCCTCCTGCCCAGAGCCGGACGCCAGCCCAGCAGCAGCCAAGAGGCACAGGCGGCTCGAGGGCCCCGGCGGCGGCAAACTCGTACGGCCAGTCGAGGTGGTGAGCGCGCGGCCATGAACACCACTACCCGCGCCGCCGCCACCAGCACTCCCTGGCCTGCGGCCTGACAGTGCGGCGGCCGCGGCAATACTTCCGCCGCCGCCAGCCCCAGTACCCGGGGAACCGGCATGCGCCGCCAGAGGCGCCCGGAGCCTCGCAGTGGTAGCGGCAGCGGCAGCGGCGGTGGCTAGCGGCGGCGGGGGCGGCGGCGGCGCGGGTACGGACTGCTGCGGCGCCAAGAGGCCCGTATAGGTTCGTCCGTTTATGCTGACGCTGATGAGCACCTGCGAAGAAGGGGAGGACGCCGGGGGCGAGCAAAGGAGGAGGATACACGGTACGGACCTCAGGTACAGGGGACATCTCGTTAATATATGAAATAGTGAAAAGGGGCAAACGCCGGAGCTATGGTCGCTATGCCGCACAGCATCCCCCACCCCCTAACTGCACGCAAAGCGCTCCTCCTACCCTCCACACACACCCCTCCGCAACAAGCATATCCCCCCCGGGGCGCACCTGGTCAGATATGGGGTCCGCGGACGACCCCAGGAAGCGCCACCCGCGAACCTGCGGCACCGCCGCGGCAATGTCGTACAGCGCCGCCAGCTCATCGGCGGCGGGGCTCCAGCCTTCGCCTCCGCCGCCTCCAGGCCCCGCCACGCTGGCGGCGCCACTCGGCCTCGTGCGGGACCTCTTGAGCAGCGGCCCTATCTCCGAGCCGGTCAGGTACTCCGGGGGTAGGCGCTTAACGGCGGCGGCGTGCCGAGTGGAACGGTCCTGTGGCAAGAGAGGAAGCCAGGAAGAAGCCAGGAACAGGGACCCGCTCGTTCCGCAACACGATAGGACAGACGGAGCGCAAGTCCACCATCCGAAGCCCAACAGTGCCCCTCAAGGATGGTCCTGAAGGCCAACGCCTAAGCCTAACACCCCCCCCCACACACACATGCCCTAAGCGACCAGGCGCTGCTTCCCTATACATAATCTGCGCTATTCGACGCCCCCCATAGGGCCCAACTGCTCCTCCGCGCAGTGTGTGGGTGCACTGGATTATATGCCCGGGAAAGGGTGCATGCCCGCGGGCACAGACACACATACCTACATACACAAGAGACACACATACAACCCTGAGCTCATTGCGACAAGCGGCACTATATATTTATTCGGTACTGTGATTGCCACAATGGGGTTGATTTGATGTTGGGTCAATCAGGTGATGTCGTCACGAACAACACCGACACAAGCCCCATCTCATCCTGCCGGGGGGGTCTGCGAAATGTCTGCAGTGTGCACAGTATCGTGCCGCGTCGTGCAGCCTTGCCGTATGTTTTTACGTCCTGGCTGGTTGAGGTCCCCCAGGTGCCCACCTGCGCAACACCCCCGGGGTCCGCAGCGCCCTCACGATGTTGCTGCTGCTGCTGCTGCTGGTGGTGGTGGTGGTGGTGGAGGTGGAGATGCTGTAGCTGAGCCTTGGCCGTCCCCAGCCCGTGTCGCATAGAGCGCCGCGTACAGCCGGGGGCTTCATCTGCGCGCATTGAGGGGAGCGCAACAACGCCACCGCCGCGTTGGTTGTGGTTCGTTGGTCGGGAATGCCGTGACGTGGAGGAGTAATCTCCCGCGCATAACCCACACATGCCGCAACATGCGTTCCTTCAGGGGCGGTGCAGCCGATGTGGGTCCCAGGGCCCCCGGTGGCGCCTGCACCCCCCCCCCCCAACGCATGCTGCAGCCGCAACACCTTCCCCCCTCCCTCCCCCCCCGCCTGTACCAACTTCCAACGTAACCTGGTGTGTGGTAGCTTCCGTGTGTTCCGTCCGTGTACCGTCCTCCCGCCACCGCCGATCTCCTCCCCCCGGCCTTTCCTCCCCCTCCCCCACAACCCCCCGGGGCGCACCTGCCGCCCTTCGCTCGCCGTCCATGCCAGCTGTCCCAGGCCGGCACGAGTCACCGCCGTCACCGGTGCCGCTGCCGTCGCCCTCTCCGCTGCCGCCGGAGCCGCCGCCGCGACGCTTGCTGTCGTCCGACGGCGGACTGCCCTCGCTGCTGCTGTGCCCCTTACCTGCGCCGTTGCCACCGTTGCCCCCCTCGTCCTCCTCACCGCCGTCATCCAGGCTGCTAGCCCCGCGACCGGCTCCGGAGCCCGAGCCCCGCCGCACGGCTCCGGAACCAACACCTGGGCTACTGTCCGCCATGCCCGCTAGAACGACGCCACGCCCCTGCAGGAACTGCTGCTGTTGTTGTTGTATGCCAGCAAGTGTAGCAGTGCCGCGTTGCTGCGGTCCCGCCAGTCGGCCACGGGGACCATGACGTCCCGATGACGCGCGACTGCCGGCACCGGTGCCAGCAGGCCGCCCTTGCACCCGGCGGCGGTCTGACGCCCGAAGTCCTCCTGCGCCCGACCGAGCGCCGCGGTGGGCCGCGGGGCGCCTGCCGCCACGGCTCCCCGCGGCTTCCGACGGGCCGCTGTACAGCCCGTCCTCAGGATCGCCGCCGTCATCGAGCGCGCCGTACATGTCCTCGCCAGCGACCAGCCCGTCCTCGTCCGCGCCGGCGCCGCTGCCGCCGGCGAGCTGCGCACCTACCTCGTCGTACTCTTCGTCCTCGCCTGTGACGTACTCCGAGGCGGGGTAGCGGCTCGGGGGTAATGTGCAGCGACCCAGTTGGGGGTGTACGACATGGTGCTCAAACCCGCCGCCGCCGCCGCCGCGGGTACCATGGGCGTGGCTGTTGTCATTGGTCCCTGATGACAGGCCCCCCGGGTGGCCGATGCCGTCGGCGCCAAAACCATAGATGACGGCCATACTCCCGGAGCCGCCTGGGCCAGGTGATCCGAGTGGCCCGCTGCATTTGGGGCGCGGCAGGATATTATGCTGTTCCAGCCATTTGCCAATGGTGATGGTGCCGTCACCCTGCAGAAGGCGAATGCTGTTGCGCCATTTTTTCGCGGTTAGCAGACCGCTATGGCGCTCAAACTCTGTTGGCGTAATAGCGGGCGCCTGATGGTGCTGCGACTGCGCCTGCGTGGCTGCGCCATCGACCAAGCCATTTCCACGGGCATCCCTGGATGCGCCTTCAGGCGCGCACCGTGCACAGTGGCAGTGGACGGTCTGAGATGGAAGCAGAAATGTTCCGAGAGTGCCGTTGCAGGTCACTCGCACCTCGCGCTCGGAACGAAGGCCAGATGTACCGACGACTTCCATTTCAGCCGGTGGAGACGGCGATATTCGTCCAACTGAAGGATGTGGCCGAACCACCAGTTGCGACTCGCTTGATGGTCCGAGCTGAGATCCAGCACCGCGGTCAAGTGTCGCTCTAAGCGCGGCGCCGGACACTGGCACGGACGGGGCGCCCAACGGCGCAGCAGCTGCTGCCTCAGCAAGACAGGCAAGGAGGTCATAATCCCCGCCTCCACACATCGGACCTTGTCGTAGCCGCGTTCGGCCCGCCGCAGCCATATGCTGAAGCTCCATTATGCTGACACAGCGCGGTCAAGACGCGCGAATTGCTTACGGCAGCCCGATACCGCGCTTCCGATTCAGATTGGTGCCGAATGGACTTTAAAGGAATTAGGAGCCCTTGCGTAGTTGTGCAGGCTCGTGTCGTTTGCGCAGGCGACTCGGTTTAAAGCCTGCGCATAAAATTTAAACGCATCCATCAAATCAGAAACGAATGAGACCTTTTTCTGTATAGCTAACAGCGCTGGAGTCTTGTGTCCCGGCGTGCACGAAGCGCTAACTCACCCCCACCGCTTCCGCTGCGCTCGACAACGGGTAGGTTGTCACAGGCTTAGTCCAACCAAGCCCGCGCTGGCGCACATTTCGCATCAAGAAAATGTGTGTAGCTAAGCGCAAGATCCGTGGCCGCGCCGTGCAGGTGCGCGCAGGCCCTCCGTTTTCGGCATACATTCTCACAACTTACTGCAAGCTCCACAAACCCGCCGCAAAGCCCGAGTCGCTCTGTCCATATACACACCTCAAAGTCTATGTAGCACCGCTATGCGTGCACCGCGGCCGTCCGGACGAGTTGTGTCGCCGTTGCAGCGGTCCCGGGAACGCGCTGAGGCACGCGCAAAGAGTCAGTCCGTCAGCACAATTCGGCAGCCTGGCAACTTAACAGCAAACTAAAAACACGTTGTGCGCGGCAAAGGCTTTCAGGCGGCGCACAGAACATCGGCATGCGCTCCTTGCTAGTGCATAACGACAGCGCGCACGCGCTTGTTCTCTGGTCCCTTACCGGCAGCGCGCCCTCTGTACTGTGCGTGTCCGCGCCAACAAATGGTAAGCCAAAAACTGGAAGCCGAAACTAGCGAGTTGTTGCGTGAAAGGGACATGCAATCCAGCACAAGCGCAATTGTTTCTTGGTCTTGGTATCCAAACGTATCCTTCGCCAATAATTGAGAAGGGTCAACACGGGCCAAATATTTGGCTACTGTACGGCCTGATTCGCTCGTCAAGCCCTTTTTCCTCTTTCGGTTCAGCAAAGCCTGGCCGAATGAAAATTACTTGCAGGCAAGCTTCCTCTGCTATGGCAGTATCCCATGACCCTAGCGTACGAGTGATACTGGCTCAGATACTGGTTGCCGTCTACCCTGGCATGACGATCAAACCATCTGTGATAGACTGAAGCCAAGTCATTCGTTGATTCTTTAACTGTATTACATGTGGCGCATCCCCGAAAGGAGCAACCGCACCAATTGTAACCAGCGCCCCAGTCGGCACGTAAATTTCAATTTTTCTTTTCGGTCCATTAATGTATTTCGTAGTCCTTAACTACTGTGTCCTAGCTTGAAGCTATCATGGCACAGAGGCATGGACATATGAGAGCTTTTATGTACGTCGCGGCACCTTTCGCCGCCCTTCCGCACGCAGGCATTCCCATCTATAGAGCGTAGTCGAGGACTTTATCATTACGCTACACCTAGTTAAAGAATTTGGTTGACTCGGTCATGTTGGATTTCGGTATCCGCAGCCCACGTGTGGAGTATAATGGAAGCCAGGGCTGCTTTTTTGCCGAAACTCTTACCCATATACAAGGTTTTGCAGCGCCTGATCGAGGGGCGCCGTTTGCGTACCGCTGCGCGCGTTCCCGACAAGCAGGTAGTTGTTACATCAGGGCCCCTGGGACACAACCGACAAGCATCAGTATTAGTAACCGACTCTCGGCATTGCGTTCAGTTGTTGGGAGCTGGATTAGCCTTGAGTTTCAGCCTGGGAAGTACGGCAGATCCTAAGGTTTGGCGCGCGGCGGAAATGGTGCGCAAGTTCTCGTGCGCGCATGCACGCTTTTGATGCAAGCGCTTTGGGATTACGACCGAGAGTGATGGCGCTGCAGTTACAGCTAGTTGCAATTTACTGCAGTTTACGGCACAACAAATTCACATATCAGCTGCGCCATCGTCTTCTACTCCTTCTAACCCCTTCCGCTGTCTCTACGGCCCCACCCACCCACCCTTTCCCTAAAACCACTGCAAAGATGACCGCCAGCAACCCAAATCCCAGTGGAACCAATGACTGGAGCAAGAACCGTTCGGATCATAGGTGACACCTCCGCTTAAGCGACGTTTAAGAACTATCGAACCTTCAGACCGCGGCTGAAGTTCCACTCCAATACTGCAGGTTGGCAACCATACAGCCTAGGGCAACCCCAGGCGATGCGCCAGACTTCAATCGGTCGGGACCATATCAGTTCCTAGCTCGTCAACAGCAAGCAACTAACTAACGAAACAAATCAATAGGAGACCTCCAGGAGACGTGTTGCACATGGGGGGGGTAATGATGGCATAGTGTACCGACAGACACGATAGAATAAAAGCAGTTCAGCAGGTGGGAGCCAGTCGCTAGCAGACAACAACAACAGCAGCAGCAGCAGACGGAGTTGAGGTGGAATGGCGGAATGGAGGGATGAGGCACAGAGGATTGCAATTTGCGACATGTAGCTTTACTTCGCTGCTCGTCTGGCCGCGTTTTCTATGCGCCATCGAACGGGGCTCTGCTGCTGCTGCTGCTACTACCACATCCATGGCATACATCCCTCCTTCCATACATACATCCGAGAGTCCGGGTTCAAATCCGCCTGCCGACTCCTCGGGTGTTTGAGGAGTGTTGAAATGGGAGGTGGTCCCCCATCTTATGGAAGGTGTAGGACGTGATAACATCTACTTGCGAGCTGACCAGGAACTAAAGTTGAGGCGCCGTTGATCCGCTAGATTTGGTTGGATGCTGATGGTGAGTTGATGAACCCAACGAATACATTCTGAAGTCGGATGGGGTGAACAGATTAGGTTGCCCCTCTAGCACAGGGGAGAGCAGGGAACTGCCTCGGGAAAGGGGGCCGCTGGTGAAGCTTAACCAACCTGTAACAACATACATCCCTCTCTCCCTCCATCCCTCACACCCTCGCACCCTCCATCCCTCCCACCCTCCATCCCTCCCACCCTCCATCCCTCCCACCCTCCATCCCTCCCACCCTCCCTCCCTCCCTCCCTCCCTCCCACCCTCCATCCCTCCCACCGTCCATCCCTTCCACCGTCCCTCCCTCCCCCCCTCCCTCCCTCCCTCCCTCCCTCCCTCCCCCCCTCCCTCCCTCCCTCCATCCTTCCAAACACCCAGTCAGTTTTCACCACCGGGCCGATACCCGCCAGCGTGTCGTGTCCATGGAGGTTGCTATTTGGGCTTTGGTGCTGTCGCAGGCCACTGTCACCTAAATTATTACATTCATCCGCAGCTGCACACGGACGGATTCCAGCCACGAAGGCCAGTGAGGTACTTTCTCCGGCGACATATGGTGACTGCCGGTTTGCGGTTTGCGATTACACGAGGGTCGCAAACATGTAAGCTGCTGCAAGGATCTAGGCACCAGAAGCCCTGAGCCACGGCAATGTACTCAGACGGCTGCGGGCAGTTTCATAGGCATATCAACCCGAACCTAACCCTAACCACGAATTCGCCCCCAGCCGTGCGCGCGGCTCCCAAATACATGCGCAAAGACGACAAACAGCATTCACCACCAGCATTAGCCACATAGCCACACGCCTCCCGGCCACCTATCGCCTGTACTGCAGGCAGCAATGCACTCCAGGTATGGGGAGGAGAACGGGAGAAGAGAGAGGTATGGAGGGGAGGGGGCCCATTTGCAGCATTCGGAGTTTTGCCGTAGGCCGTACATGTCATAGTGTTTATCTGCTGCTGCTGCTGCTGCTGTTATTGCTGCTGCTCACGTATGCACGGGGTTCCGCTGCGCGTTCATACCGCCCGGGGGGTGGGGAAAGAAGAGGGGGAAGGAAAAGGGAATTGCGGACAAGGGTCCATCGCCCGGAGGCCACCTCTCCCCCTTCCGCCTATCCATCATACCCTCATCAGACCCCTCATCAGCATCGTCACCTCCTCACCCCAGCCCGAATCGCTGCCCATAGCTCCGGGCTGTCCAGCCGCATCACTCGACACCTCGGAACGGGGTGCTCCTGTGCCAGCACCCAGCGCAGACCCATGGTTCCGTGAGTGTGGTGCGCCGTGGAGACGTACGTCACCCCCTTCACCAACCAGCTCGGAGGCAGCAGCATTTCCCCCTCGCCCTCACCTCCACACACACCCCCGCTGCCACTTGCCGTCGCCTCACGATCACCTCCCCCTTGCTGCCCCGGCCCAGCCAGTTTCCCCCTGTGAATGTTCCCGCTCCCCTCCTCCTCCCTCTCCTCCCTCTCCTCCCTCTCCTCCCTCTCCTCCTGCTCCTCCAGCTGCTGCGCCCATCGCGCCTCAGGATGGGCAGCAGAATCACCATTGAGGGCGGCCCGTGGGTCAGTGTGCGCCACCAACAGGCAGATGGAACCGTCCGGCATGTACGACGCGGTTGCCTTGTTGGTTGTGGTCTCGGGGTGCGCAACGTAATCCAACGACTCCATCCACCAGTTATCCAACTGAAAATTCCAGTAGGGGCACTCGGGGGGGGTAACCTGCGGGGAACAACACAACAAAAATCGGTGAGCTTAGCAACATCGACGTCATAACAAGGTTAAGCTCATGGCGAGAGCTTATTACGCGAGCTATGCAAATGTGAGGTGGCGGTGTAGGTGAGTACGGATGTGCACATGTGTGGCGGGGCCCCGGGGGCGGGTGAAGGGGCGGGGGGTTGCAGCGACGTACGAGAAGGGGTGTTGAGGGGGGATCTTAAGCCCCGTGTCAAGGGGAGAATGCAGGTGCGTGTGTGTATGTGTATTAGGGGCCGAGCCTGTGGGCCCTGCCAGGTTCCAGGCCCCAAGCCCTTCCCCCCCCCCTCGTGGATGGTTTTAGGGTTTTAAGGGGCCACAGGTTTCCTTAGAAACCCCGCACCCCCCACCCCGGGTAGGGGAATTTAGTAACGCACATATATGCATGGATATATGCATGGATTGCAGTACCAGAGCTCATCATTACCCTGCCGCCAACCCCCAACCCTCCATGCCGCCTCATCCACCCCGGCCCTCCTTCTTCCCCCTCCTCTCGCTCCTCTTCCTGCTTAACCCATCACCCGCCGTTACTGGCGGTTTCTTCCCACCTGTACGACAAGCACCTCCCAGGGCTCCAGGCGCCAGTAGCCGTGGAAGAAGTGTATGGCAGGGTCGGCCCAGGCGGACATGTACACGTCAGCGTCCAGAGTGATCAGCGTGTTGGGCCGCAAGGCGAAGCTCCGAGACCATGACTGGAACTGCCGTACACTGCCCGCGATGAACACCGCCGCGCCAGACAAACCGGCCACGACCTACTATTGGTTGCGGGACGCGAATAACAAAACAAGAGACACGCAAGAACATCATCACGGCGGTGGTGGCGGTGCAAGAGCCCGGCAGCAGGGATGCCAACAGCCCACGGGCTCTCATGGCTCCAATTTTTAATAGTGATGGTTCTGAGTGAGTGAGTGAGTGAGTGAGCGAGCGAGCGAGTGAGTGAGTGAGTGAGCGAGCGAGCGTGAGTGAGTGAGCGAGCGAGTGAGTGAGCGAGTGAGCGAGTGAGCGAGGGGTGGGGGGTCGCACGCACCTGGCCCGCGGAGAGCGGCGGCTTCGTCTCCCGACCCGCAGAATCTACGAGAGGAATGCCGACAGCGCCAGAAACCCCCGCCGCCGCCGCCGACGCCTTCCCGTCTCCGCTGCGCCCTGCCGCCAGAGGCAGTCGCTCTACATGCACCTACACGTCGTACGGTACGGCGGGACGGGAATTGCGGACTTTCTTGGCCGTAGGTGGCCCTAGCGCCCACCTCGTGCGTGAAGGGCCTCCCCTGATAAAGCCAAGAAGAGGGTTCCCCGCCCCACATCCCCCTTCTCACTTTCCCCAATACCAACCACGACCTAGGGCGCCCTAGATGCCGCTCTCTCATCCCCCCGCCCCCTCCACTCCGCAGCCAACCCAAGGGATCTACAGCCCAATGCCCCATGTGCAGTGCAGTGGACATCGCTGAATGCTGTCATGCATTGCACCCACCACCTCTCCGATCCATCTTTCAGCTTCCAGCAGCACAATTCTGCCGCGCCGCCGCAACCCCCCGCCCTCCCTCCTGGTCAGTGGTGGTGGTAGGGGTGGTGGTGGCGGGCGATTGATAGATTGACTGAGGCGCTTAACACCACTCGCTGGCCGAAACCTCTATCTGTCTGTCTGTCTATTTGCTACAGTCTCCTCATTCTCGTCCAATCTACCGTACTACAGTGCCGGAGTTCGCCCCTCTTTCCCCCCCCCCGCCCAGCCGCCCACCTCAGCCGGAACCTCCTTGCCCCGCTCCAGAAAGGTTTGTCGTACCACGAGCCGACTGGCGTCTGGGGGCAGGCGGATCCAGTTCTCCCCTCTGGCCCGGGGCGTCAGGAAAATCTGGGGTGCGGGGAAGGGGTGCGGGGAAGGGGTGCGGGGAAGGGGCTCATTTTTAAGTTCAGAGGTCAAACAGATCCAACTAACCAACTTGCAACCGAGTACGACACCTCTGAAGGTGCTTCCATCTATACTTCGGGGAGGACGACGGCCACCGCTACCACCACCACCACCACCACCACCACCATCCGTACGAGCGCACTTCGAAGCTCCCGTCCCGTTGGGTGACCAGTTTTGAGCTGTCCAGGTGGCTGGGCTGGCTGTAGCCCTGACCGGGACGGCTGCCGCAGTAGCACCCAAAACTGAGGTACGTCACCGTACCACGGGTGCCGTACAGACGGTACTCAAATGCGCCGGAGACTGCAAAGACACGGGTTGGGCCGAGGGCTTGAGGGGTGGGGAAAGGCGGATCCTAGGTACGGCAATATGTACGGCAGTGCCGCCAATACCTCGACCACCCCTGGCTTTAGGACACCGCCCCTTCCGACTCTACAAACCCATAACCCCGCCCCGCTGGCGGTTGCATGCGGGGGGGGGAGGAGAACTCAAACCTCACTCATCCGGGCGATTAGGGGGGAAATACACAAACAAACATAAACACATACGCTGTGACACGGCTAAATGGCAGGGAAACCCCTCCGTGTGTGTATGTGCGTATCGTTTTCTACCTGTGCCGTACATGTACAAGTTGTCCGGGTTGTCCGCGCCCAGTTTGACGTTGTACGGCAGGGGTCGCAGTACGGGCCAGGCTGGGTCCCAACAATCCAAAAAGGCTTCCAAACCTGATGGATGCGTGCGTTATACCAGTACGGTAACAAGGGAGGGGGGCCGCGCTGCTGATTGCTGCGGATGTGCGGTTGAGTTGGCACTGGAGTTGGCCCTGTGCCCCTTCCCCAACGGAAAGTTGTTTGCGGTTGCACTGGCTAACACCCTCGCGTGCGCGCGCACGTATGTCATACACACAGCATACAGTGTGCGGTATGCTATGGCGGCAACTACTATGGTGCGCACTTCGTACTTGACGTACTCACCACCGTAAAACACAGAGCTTAAGGAACCCCCTTCCTTCCTTCCTCCTCACCCCGTGCCGCCCACCACTGAGCCCAAACCACGGAGCCCAATGCAGCGCGGCTGGTCCCCCCATGCCCCCTACCCTACCCTACCCCTACCCTACCCCAGCGGTGTCGGGACCCCCTCACGGCTCAGCCACGTGTCTCCCCCTCTCCCGCACCCATTCCCCTCCCAAACCCGTACCGCACACCCCACCCCGACCCACCCACCCCCCCGCAGAATCCGTGTCAGGTAGCGCACACCCTCCCTCCTGTCCAGGGAGGTCAGCTGTACCGCCTCCGTCCCGGATGTGAGCCTGGTGTTGCTGTTGACTCCGCCACTGGCGGCGCTGCTGCTGCTGCTGCCACCCCCATAATCACGGACTGGGCCTGGGCCTGTCCTTGGCGTTGGCATTGGTGGTGCGGGTGCGGGTGCGGGTGGCTCCGCCAGGATGAACTCCACCAGGCCCCGGAGACTGTCGCAAAAGTCCAACCAGGCCGTACCTTTGGAGACGGAAGGGAAGGGTGTACGGAAGCGTGCAGAGAGCGTGTGTGTTTTTGTGGCGCACGTGTGTAATTAGGTAATCTGACCGGGCCTGATGCTGGTCAAAGGCAGCGACTCGACTCGACACTGGCCATGGGTGGTTGCCTTGGACGGAGAACTGGAAAGGGTAGAGGGGGGTGAGGAGGGCCCGCTGTCTCCTCTTCTTGCGCAACCTAGAGACCGTACAGATATGCACACGGCGGCACAGCTATGTTGGTGCTGTCCGTGTTTCGGCGCTCAAGACGGTGCATCGAGTATTATCGTCTGTTTTAGTTCTTTGGCCGTCGTTTTTCCAAGTAAATTTTCCGTAAGTGCAGGGCAGCAGGCCGACTGCCACCCTGCTTACCCTCGTCGATGTGCCTTTGGGCGTCCACATCGGCGGAGGGAGCTGTCCGTGCGGCTTCCCGCTCAAGAACCAGAGAAAAGAGCCTCAGAAGAAGAGCAAAATCGAAAAAGCGCTTTGCGATCCAAGTAAAAAGTCGGATAATCTTCTTACGAAGCCAGCCCATTTCGGAAGCCGAACCCGATGCCTGGTAGATGAGGAAGGGCAAAAGGTCTGTAATTGGTATAATCGGTTTCCTCTTGGCAATGCAATCCCGGGCAGAACTGCGAAGGGGCGACGGTTGGAAGTTAAAGATCGAAATGCTGACCGACAGCTAACGCCTTCCAAGCATGCACAAATCAGTCGATGTTTAACTTCATACTTACGATATAAATGCGGTCTTTAGCTGCGCTTGTGTGTTCCCTTGTTACGCTTGATCAGCTGCGATATGAAAAAGGGTCAGGGTATGGCCAACTCGTGGCAAAGTCCGGGATCCAAAGCAAAGAAGAGATGACAACAGACGTGATCTACAGCGTTTTTCTGAGGTGGCCAAGTAGGCAATGGATGCCTAGGGCAAAGTGCTTCAGATGCTGTTGGCTTGCCAAGCTTTCCTAACACAGCTGTAACATGGCGGGTGTGTAACCTTGAGGTTTACCGTGGCTCTAACAGCCGATTAGTCCTTTTCCTTACAATCCAAGGACACAAGGCGCATGGCCCTCCCCTTCCGATCCTCAGCTCCCAAAGGCACTGCTTTCTGCTGCCATGCCCCTTTGGAGAACGGCCATGCCAGATACCCTGGGCAGCCGTGCGCTCGGTTGCAAGCTGCGTCCTTGCTTCATATCTGGAGCGCATCTCCCCGCGCCACGTCGCCTCCTCCCGTCTTAACGGGCTGTTCGGCTGCGGGTCAAGTAAGGCACGCCGAATCCAAACTTCCCCCTTGCAGTATAGCCCGTTCCATGCACAGGGCTTCCACGCTATGCGTCGTCTTGGAGTGCAGTCTGTCTGGTCGCTGGTGCATGCTTTTATTACCTGGGTCTTTGCTGTGCTTTGGGTGAACAGACGCCAGGAGGAACCTTCTGGGCCATAGGATACCGCTGGCTGCTGTGCACTGAAGGCATGGATTTTTCTGTTGCCGAGGTCAGGCACGACGCCCTGGCACATCGACAGCACCTATGGTGTAGGGAGTGGCTTCGTGGGACTTGTTGATGCGGATGGGATGCCTTTCAGTTGGAATCATCGCTAACAAAATCCCGCGGCCCCTTTGGAATGCAACCGCCTTGGATCAGGCATGCAGGCGAATGTTGAATTAAGCGGCGAACGCCATATGGACGCTTTGAAGTGATCCTGAAGTGCTTGTCAATGGATATTTGTCTATGGAACAGCGATTGCGACCCAGCAGCTTCCGTCAAGATTCATCCATTGAAGTCCCCCTGGGCCCCACTCCCGTGCTCAAATCCTGGTAAGTATGTATTGGTATTGGCGAGGCATATTGTCTGTTACCAAAATGTATCCTTCGGCCAGATGGGGTTAGTTGTGGCGTGAACCGTTGGACTCAGGTGGGAATGAGCGGCGTACTGTGTTTGGAGCAACAAGTCACAGCACCTTCAAGTGTGCTTACCACTCGTAATTGCAAAATATATTCCTAACGCGAAACTTACAAAAATGGGAGGAATAATTCTTCTGAAGTACGGAATGAAGACAATTGGCACTGACACAGTTACGATACCCGCGGACGCAGAGCGCAAGTTGATACCGTCTTACAGTAACTGGCTAATCTATTATAGTAGTCTTGTCTTCTGAAGCTTGAAAGGAGCGTGGGAGCTGAGCTTACTCTGGAGCCACGTATGTCGAGACCATTTTTGTTGCTTGGAACTGTAGACTGGCCCTACAGAGTATAATGCATTGGTTGCGTGAAAGGTGGCGAACTTGGCCCCGGGCTGTTAACGAAGAATAGCCTTGACTAGTAGCAGGCTATCGCCTAGGCATAAGTTGTCGAGTATGTTTGGAGAAACGGCCATAGGATATCAGGCGGAAGACATGGATGTCGGAAACTCTCCTTGTTGCACCAGCGGCAACCGCAAGGTGCTCCGAATAGGCTGTGCGCTCCTGCCCAAGAAGGTAGGCATATTTTTTACTTCATTTTCTGTTTCAGTAAATGTTGAGATCTACGTTTCGGACCGTACAGGTGAGCAGGTATCTTACAAAATCTATGCAGCGAATTGCCAGTAGCAGAGGAGTGGAGCTGGTACTGCTCGACCACACGAAGCCGCTTGTAGACCAGGGGGAATATGACGCTATCGTCCATAAGCTTCGGCCCAACAAAGGTACGTTTAGGTCAGACGTTCAACACTTTAGGACGGTTGACCTGTAAGTGCCCCCAGATGCCCGCAGCAAGATGGCATGCCCTGGTTGTTTACGAACTTACATATTCGATATTTGTGTGTAGATTGGGAGCGAAATCTTCATGAGTATATCACAGCACGTCCGGGCGTGAAGGTGATAGACTCGTTGGCGGGTATCAGGATTGTTCACAACCGAGCCACAATGCTGCTACCGCTCCGGGAGCATCCTGATGGCATTACCCTGCAGGTGCGTTATGTGGGGAATACTGCGCCCCTCGTTTGCCTCGGTAGCAACCCCTTAAAACTCTTGCCACGCGATCACGCCCAATGCCCGACGGCGCGCAACCCTCACCCTCCCGTCCTGGGTTTGCGCTACGCAGAAACCTTACTCACGTAATGGCAGAGGAGGTTACAACATTGCTCGGATTCAGTCACCCACCCAGGTAAAAACGGACAAGGACCTCGTGCTCCCCTCAGCCTAATGCCGCCGTTCCGAATCTTCCAAGCAACAGCGCCCCAAACTACACTCCATCCACGTGCTTGACTCTGCTTGGCAGTTCAAAGTGCCTCCACCCGGATCCGATTTCACCTACAACTCGCGAAGCTGTACAACAAAACTTCCCCCCCATTACACTTCAGCTCACCGTGCTGCTGCCCGGCTGCTCCCAACGAATGCTCGCATGCCAATGCGGCCTTCAGGCTATCCAGGATGCCCGGCTGCACAACCCCCAGTCCATTTACACCCCCAACAACGCCCACGAGCGTTATCTCACATTCACCAGCTGCTGTTCGTTTCGACGTAGGCGATGGTTCCGCATCCTCTATACTCCCCTAACTACCGTCCGCATGTAGGTGGAAATTACGGAGGGTATGTCGCTAGCAGAGGCGCAGACGCGGTTGCGCCTAGCTGGATTAACGCCGCCGCTGCTGGTGAAGCCGCTGTGGACGGACGGCCGCGAGGGCAGCCACGGGCTGGCTGTGCTGCACGACATGGCGGCCATGGGCAAGGTACTTCAGGGCGGCGTGTCGTCCTCCCTCAAGCCGCCGCTGGTGGTGCAGCAGTTTGTCGATCACGGGGGTGTCCTGTTTAAGGTGCGGCGTGGTGCAGGCGCGGGTGATCGGATGCGGACACTCTGATGGAGTGTGTGTGTGTCTCTTGTAAACGAACAACGTGCAGGAAAAGAACAAAATGCAAAGGTATGCATATATCGATATCGACCAGATGATGTTGAGAGCCCCGAGCGAAGTACGGAAGCTCCCCGGGGGACCACGGGGTCACCTGGTGGTGGTGCGGTGACAGTGGACAGTGCAACACACACGGACAGAACAACACGGGTGATGATATTTGGGTTTGAGTATTTGAGATCTTACTCTGAAGCATGCAAACGTTACGCCTTATCGACGTTGCTGGCTTCCCTTTCCCCCACAGGTATATGTCCTCGGCGTGCGCACAGTGGTCTGCTTGCGGCCTTCTTTAGGCGACTCTCACCTAGGCCGGGAGGAGCGGCGCGCCGGCGTGCAGTCGCTCCCCCGCATATCCTGCAAGTCCAGCTACGCCAAGGGATCACCTGAGGACAAGCTGAGCGCCGGCATCATTTACGACACCGCGGCGGCGGGCGGCCGGTTTTCCAGTCCCTCCGATTTTGATTGCGGCAGCGACGGCGTCCGTGGCAGCGGCCGTCTGGAGTCCTGGGGCCGGGTCCACCAGGGCGCCGTCAGCGCCCCGGACCTCAGCCCGCAGCGGCCACCTCCGGAGCAGCTGTTGCACCCCTCGGCGCCGCCGGAGTGGGTGACCAGCGCCCTGGCGGGGACGCTGAGGGATAAGCTGGGGCTACAGCTGTTCAACTTCGACATGATATGCCCCGCGGACCAGCCGTCGCCGCACGAGCGGCTGTATTATGTGGTGAGCCGGCCGGGCGGCCGGGGGCGATCTGGATCGGGACCGATGCTAGGACTTGTGCAACGCAGAGCAACTTCCTCTAGGTTCTTTGGGCGGCTGGGCGAGATGTGCCCGCGGTGGGCGTCGCCGGCACACGGGTGGTGTGTAGGGCGGAGGGGAGTGGGGGCTGTCGCGCTTGGCGGGCGGCCGGGCGGCCTGCTCGAATGGCAATCGGGCTGAAGAACGGCGTTTCTTATGGCTTTAGCGGCATGGGCGCTGTGGGTCTCGACCATTTGTAAGCCGGCTGAAGGCAATATATCCATGTGCTGGCATATCTATGGTTTCAATGTGTGTTACATTACAGACGATTTCAGTCGCCTGGCTCCATTTTAGATCGGCCGCGGCAAGGGAGCTGGCGGAGAAACCAAACATGACCCTACGCGCGTTTTTCAACCTTTGACCTGGTGGCTGGAGGGATGTGCTGCTGGCATGATGAGTGATGATGGGGGGAAGCGTGCTGTCGGGCAGTCTAGATCCTGATGGTGGCAGCAATTTTGGGGCTGCTGTGTGTTTTGCGATAGGGGGAAGGAAGGTCCCTTCGTCCACCTCCTCCCAGGCACCTGAAGTTTCGCGCCATGTGGTCCATGTGTCCTGGGAACGAGTACACGAGAGTGGTATTGCATTGGTTTCGCCCCATGCAGAAGCAGTAGATAGGTAGCAGTAGCAGCAATTGTTACTGTTATTGTTGAACAGCAGCAATTGGAGGAGGAGCAGCAGCAGCGCTAACAGTTGTATTTAGTTTTAAGTGACGGCAGGACCAGCAGCACGAACGGCGAATTGATGCCTGGTGCGGTCTGGGGCTGCGGTTTGTCGTTATTGGTCGTTGTATATATATCCGCAAACAGGCAAGTTATGGATGGACAAGTCATGAGAGGACAGCACTGAACAGCAGAAGGAGCTCTCATACACGGAGATGTATACTATTCGTTCGTGGAACAGGATACAATAAAGAGGGGGGGCTGCGCTGTGTTTAATTTATTGGATAGGATAAGGCCTGAGAGCAGTTACCTTTCCATTCAGCGACGAGATGTCCCTCTGCCGCCTAGGGGCTTCTAGTCTAGGGGCTTTTATGTCCGTCCCGCTGCATTGGGGCCCTCCATGCGGAACCCATGGACGGCTTCTGTCCCTCATCTCTCTGTCCATCCTCCGCCACCTCCTCCTGAGTCCTTCACCTTCGCACGCAGTGGCACGTTGCCGCCATCGTCCTTGCCCCCCTCGCAGCGTTGTGCTTCCTATGCTGTATTCAGTCTGCATACCCACATCCGTCCTCCCACCCACCCCTTCGTTGACGCCCACGTCCTATCACCACGTAATAGTGATTCCACCACCACCGCACCCACTTCATCCTCCATGCGTGTGCGCAGGTGGATATTAACTACTTTCCTGGCGTGGACAAGATCCCGGACTTTGAGCACATCTTTGTGGACTTCCTTACTGCTACATGCGAAGGGGACCTAGAGTGCGGGGGCGACCGGGCCTTAGCACCCGCAGATGCTGGCCAGACCGACACGGAAATGGCGGGTGGTGAGGACGCCGTGTCGTCGGTGTCCTCAGACAAAGGTGACGTTGGCAGGCTGCTGATGGTAGGGGCGGATGCACCGGCTCCAGCGGCTCCGCCACCGGCGCCGGCAGGCACCACGACCTGGGGGCCCCTCGAACAGCACTCTTGACCTAGCTACACCACCGTGCTTATATGCCCGTGAGATACGTGTGTCTCTTGTGTTCTTTTGAGTCTCTGTGTACATAGCAAGTTTTGTTAAGTTAGGGGCTCAACGAATGATGTTCATGAAATGGTCCTTGACCACGTGTGTCCCACACATCTACGGGCCGTTGCAGCTATAAGGCCGCAGGTGCTTGCTTTTGGTACGGACACGTGCGCCCATGCAATGTGCACATGGTGGCTGCGTGACTGGCATCCGTGACGGGAAATTGTAGACCGACGTAATAAGACAATTGACAGGAGAGAGTCCCGAGCCGTTGTTGGTTCGTCGTTGCGTGCGGTTGTCACTATCCGGTTGTATATATAATAGGGCTCCTTAGGGTTTGGCTGTCAGTCTCCTAGCCAAGACCACCTAGCCAAGGACTGAGTTGGTTTGGTGAACTGACCTTTGGGAGAGTCCATATCCATGTACCATGTCAGGATGTGGACATAATAGCACGGGGCCCAGCAATGGGGTGCAACGACACGACACAGTGGAGGTGAAGCCGCCGCAGGGCTCTGAGCGCAATGTTGCCTTCTTTGCGTGATGAGGAAGCTGTCGGAAAGCTGTCGGCCGGCAGTCGGCGGCTTGGACGAAGGCACGGTATGCGAGTAGCGGTGGGAGAGGTACAGGCGGGTGGGCGCGGCTAGGTGGTGGTGGTGGTGGTAGGGTGCACGGGAGTTTTTACTGGTGGCGGTCGCAAGCTGTCAGGAGTCCAGAGGCGCCCCGGTGATGGTGACCATGGTGGTGGTGGTGGTGGTGGCGCCCGGGTTCTGCTCGCTTTGGTTGTGTTTTTCCTTTTTCCTTCCTTACGCTTACGCGTGATGGTGTACCTTGGTGAGAGCAGCTCCCGAAAGATTTTGCTTGCTGGCTATATCACAGAGGTGTATTCCTGTCCTGGTGGTACAGCCTGGCGGTTGCGGATTTCTCCGGCACACCCGGCCGGAAAGGAGGGCTGGGAGTGAATCCTCATCGGAGCATGCTCCCGACATGCGCACTTTTTTAGTGTGTATGTGTCTCCGGGAGTAAGGAGAGGCTGTGGCAGATGCTAGACTCTTGACTGTGGCCTCGGGCTGCCCTCGGGCACTGCGAGACGCATTTTGGCGGGAGATTGTCCCCCCGATGCGGTGTGACGTACCCAAGTATGTATGTGTGTGGTGACAGGGACGTGAGAATGCTGTAGTCCCGTATGTGTATTGTACGTAGGTCTCGCTTGCGAGTTGGGAGCCACAGTCGCGGAAGGCTGTGGGTGGGTGGAGCCGCGGTAATTTTGGTCCGGATTGGCGATAGAGAATTCAAGGCTTCATTGCGGATCATTCGCTTTCATTCATCTTTCCTTCTTGTGGCCCAATTCTGGCGGCTTTTGTAAGCTCATCGTCGGCACGCTTTTGGGGGAGATCATTTGCCCTGGAAGCGGCGCTTGTTTTTCTCTGCGGACGAATCGCTTCATACACTGCGCACTGTTTTCAATCTGGTGTGGTAAGAGAGTGCGCTCAGCTCGTTCAAACTTCGTACTAGATACCGCGGTACGAACACCACCACAAGCAATGATGATGTAACTTCGTTTTTGTTATGCTGAGGAAAAATTTCGAGCATGTGTACGTCATACCACTAGTAGTGCGATCTTCCTTTTTCTTTCGCCTTGGCCACGTTTATGGCCTGCGTGTCAGTCTACCAGCCTGCATACAACCCGAACAGACCTCGTCTAAACGCATGTTATATTCTGCTACACTACAAGTTCATACTTAAATATTAAAGTATGAACTGAAATGCGTATTTAGGCCTTCCTATAACAGGCCATTACTTCGACGTACGGAGAAAATAATTCCTGGGACGCGCTTAGCGGTCGCCTGCAGTTTCTGCATCCTTCAGTGGCATGGATATTTGCTTTCGCGCCAAAACAGCCGCACATTATGCAAAAGAGGGAAAGACATAGATGTCCTGCATGCATAATTTTGCCGTGCGTGCACTGGCGGAACAGGTTTCGCCCACTTTTAACCTGGGCCATGGTGCATCATCAGTACGGTTACTATGCGGCACGTCCGTGTTCTGCTGTTTGACAGCAAGGCCCAAGATATTGTTGAGGTCGTTACATGTCGCGAGGCCTGGACGAGCGCAGTTTTTGGCAACTGCCAGGGCTAACGAACACAACTGACCGCGGCTAGAAGCCCTCGTAACACCGTAGTAGCAGAGGTGTATTGCGTCAAATGCAAACGCAGCAGTCGGAGTTAAAAATTGCCAAGCTTACGCAAGATTCTTTCTGGGCTGGCGGCTGCAAACTTCCAGGAAACTTGTCAGGCGCGCCGTGCGATGACCGTTGCAATGGGAGCTCTCAAAACGCGCACGCTCGCCGTACTGCCGCACATTGTCCCAGGTTGGCCATGGAATGAAGCGATTCAGCTTAATGTGAAAATACACTGATGCAGAGCTCGAGAGATTGTGCATGCTTGTATTCATACTCCACTGCTCTGCTATGCGCGTTGGCGCAACCGTGTGCAACCCTATGCAGTTTCACGCTGCAGTCTAACTTTACATTAGTGGCCCTGGGCAAGAAATTAAAGAGGTCACTGCTTAAAAAGGATTGCTTGCAAATCCGTGAGGCGCTGACTGCAGACAGCCGATTGGCATCTCCTTCTATGCTGAGACACGTTGAAGGCATATATATCCTGCATTTGTTTTGAAGCTTGCTCCTGTGTTGGAAGGGCCTCGACAAAGGTACGGCGCGTGCGGTCTGTTTCTCTCGGATGGCACCGAAATGTTGCCTCTCAGATTCGTCCATAACATATCACACATATTCCTGTCACAGGGGTGGCATAGTGGTATCGTCGGCCTGTGCTGTGAATTCCCTCACGCTTCCTTGTTGCAAACTACCGTTTCCTTTGCATAAAACTGGTATCAGGCTCGCACATCGGCAAGTCAAGGAGCCTCCAGAGAAGGGCGCGGTGTGGTGGACTCGTCAAACGAGCAGCCTGGTAAGTTGGCCCTTTGCAAGTTGAGTGCAAGCCTGCGCAACACCGCGATTCACGACATGCTGGGCTTCAAGGAACATCTGTGAAGAGGCATTCTGGTTTGTGCCAGCCGCCGGGTTGTAGGCGCGCACACGGGAAGGGCGAGGTTCCTCGTGCGCTTTGGCAAGCTCAGCAAATACATCTTGCTTTTTGCTATGCACGCATTCCAAGTTTAAAAATGCATCTTCTTGTCCATTCTCCTGGCAGAAGCGCGGCCTCCCCGGCTTTTGCGCAACCATGCACTTGGGCGGCAGGCTGGTGTTCATCACAGCCTTTCATTGAGCATCAAGATAGGGCTGACTGGACATGCAGAATGACCCCTGGCGAAGATGAGCGGCTTGTTGAAGATGGCAAAATTGACGGTCCCAGACCGCCACTTACGCGTGCGGCGAAGGTGCGGACGAGAGCCTTGCAGCGGGCAAAGGCAAAAACCTCTGCGTGTAACAGCCTAGTCAGCGCTTATGAAGTAATTTGTACGGCGTACAGGCTGGGTGAAACACAAACGCGTCGTACGGCTTATTTCCCCGATGACCATCACACTGAGGGTGGAGGCAATTCGCTTTCGTTGGTTTGACTGGATTTTCTTAATGATTGTAATCTGCGTTCCACCCAGTCGAGAGTGACCACCGAAGAAGCGAAGCGTCAAGCGGTCAAAGATTTGAAGTCCAAAGTCTGGGGCGTGGCAGTATGCCAGTTTACAGCACGTGTTCAGCCGTTGCACTGGCTTGCTGCGCGGATAGCACCCGCATCCCCTCCTTAACCTTATGCTGCCATCAGAGTGTCCTAAACTATGGCTTACCTTCCCCAGCAGGCGCTTCGCGGTGCGGATATGCACCCTTATCAACACCAGCCGTCAGGTCCAAAGCACACCGTGGGTGCCTCACAACAGCAGGCACAGTCTCGCAAACACGATTACGAATCGAATGGACTGCAGCTGTTGGCAGATTACGATTCCGCTTCTGCTTCTGACGAACAAACCGGAGGGGAACTCCAGGGCCAGGAGCAGGCCTCTTCTCCCAGGGCCATTGCCGGCAGTGCAGCGGCAACCGCGGCGGCTGCTGAACCGGCAGATCAGCGGGAAGAGGGCGGCGAGCCTATTACGTCTTGTGTCGGGGTAGAGTTGTGCACTGACAATGGACCCACGCCTCGGCAAGAGGCCTCTACTCTAGCCTGCGGGCCTATACCTGCCGCACTGGTCCCACAAGTGGCGGCGCCCCCTGCAGCGGAGGGGCTGGAGGACGCCAAGGAAAGAAGGATTGGCAGTGAGAGGGACAGGCGGGCATCGGAAGACCACCAGCCTGCGGCAAGTGCAATGGAAAATGACTTTCCGACGGCAGCTACAGCTGCGCAAGAATCTCCTGAGCAGCAGCAGCCCGCGGAGGTGGTCCCGCCGTCGGGGCACTATCCTACGGAGCAGCCGTTGGAGGAGGCACCGAATGGGGACGAGCACGCTGTGTCGCAAGCGTCCCCTGCTCTTCAGGACTTAAAGGACGCTCAGGCGGCAATGCCAGACATGGCTCCTGGTCAGGTGGCGAAACGGGATGAAGCCGCGGTCGTTGAGCAATTCACAGAGGCGGGGCCAGACGGGGTGGGAGAGCAGCGACTAGCACAGGACGTGGACCATGCTACACAGCAGGAGCGAGCCGTGCTGCCTCTGGGTCAGGAGCCCCTCGCCCGACAGCAGGTGTTGGCCCCGTTGCCGGTGGTTCCACCACCACCCGAACAGGAGGAGCTAGTCCGCACGGGGCAGCTCCTATCTGCCGTTAAAGCGCAACCCGTGCAGCAGGGGGCCGCTGCTTCAGCACCTGAACAGGAGCAGCAGCAAGCCGCAGTGCTGCAGGGGGGGTTCAATGACCAGGAACAGCAGCTACTGCAGCGGCAGCAGCCTCCATGTGGGCGTGACGAAGCCTCAGCAGGGAGCCGAGAGCAGGCTGGTGAAGAGGGAGCCGGGCCTGCGCCTGCGCAGGGTGGCCTTAATGACCCCAGCCCTGATTGGAGGATCCAGATCAAGGGTGAAAGCAACGAGCAAAGTCGGGAGGAGGGTCGGGGGCAACCTAAGGATGGGGACCAGGTCCACGACGGGGACGCGAGTAGCGGCGATGGCCAGCGCCATGATCAAGCTGATCAGCTGCAGGGGGTTGCGCAGGAGGAGGCCCGTGGGAGCCCGCAGCCCATGGAGATGGATCCGCCGCCGGCGCGAACGTCAGCGCCTCAGCAGCAGGAACCTGAACAGCAACAGCAGCGGGCGAGCGAGGATCAGCACCAAAAACAGGATCAGGAGGAAAACGAAGAGCAGCAGCCGAAGAAGGAGGCGCCGGAGCCGGTCAAACAGGCGCAACCTCCGCGGGTGAAGTCTGAGCCTGAAGGGAAGGAGAAGCCGCCGGCTAAGGGGAAGCATGCAAGCGGGGCAGAGCCCAGGCGGGGCCAAGGTCAGCGGCAGACCAGGGCGGCGGCAGCGGTGGCTGCCGCTGCTGCAGCCGCCCTGGCGCCGTCGGGACGGCCGGTGCGGGCTGCTGCGGCCAACGCCAAGTTCTCCATAACACTGATGGGCCCAAACCGCGAGCAAGTCATGGCCATGATGGCGTATGACCTTTGGCCGACGGAGGACTTGCCACCGCCGCCGCCGCCAGCGCAGCAGCAGGAAACCTCACCGGGTGTCGCCGGCCGCCAGGGCAGCGCCAGCCCCGATGCAGCGGCTGCTGTTGCGAGGGGTGGCGGCGACGGACCGCCGCCAGCGAAGCGGGTGAAGCAGGAGCGCGGCACAACTGTCGTGTCAGCACCGGCAGAGTCCTCCGGGGCACCCTCTCCTACGACCGCGACGCCGTCAGAAGCCACTGCGACTGCCAGCGGTAGCGGTGCCAAGCGCGGCTGCAAGACCGGCACCGCTGGCTCAGCGGGGGCCCGCGCCGTCGCCGCCGGTGACGCTGTGGCCTCCGTTGGCAGCAAGCGCCCCGCTGACGGATCCGCAAAGCCCCTTTCCAAGTCCCCCAAGCTCAACGCCGTTGCCACCCCGTCTGCCAAGCCTAGCGGTCACAAGACCGAACCGAACTCAGCCATCGCTGACGACGATGTAAGCAAAAAGTCTGCCGGGGCCGCTGGCGACGGCAGCCCTATCACCACTGCCGCGGCTGCGGCTTCCAACACTCCAAAGAAGCCCTCTCGTAAGCAGAAACAGCCAGCAGAGGCCGGAGGCGGGGGTCGAGGCGGAGGAAGCGGCAGGCGTGGAAGTGCAGGGCGTGGCGCGAAGGTTGACCATGGGGGCCCGGGACGGGGGGACTTTGTGGAGTATTCGCCCTGGCTGGACGGGGGTCCCGTTAAACTGGATGAGTTGCAGACGGAGTTTGTCCGGGAGCTGTGTCGCAGCATCTTCCACGAGCGGGAGCAGGCGCCGGTGAACGCCAAGGCGCTGCTGCGGTGTCGCGGCATGCAGGGCAAAAAGATCGAATATCGCAAGGTGCGGCAGAAAAGCAGTGGTGCAAGAGGCGCCATATCCATCATCCTTTGCATTTCCCATTGCCGCGGTTGCGGTTGGGCATGCGCGCATCACAGCTCTCGCACCCGCAGGCGCGCACTTTTCCACATTGGTTTCCTATGTTTTTTTTTCACTCTACACAATATTGCAATTTCCAGGATTTCCTTGATACGAACTCCCGGGCCCGTTCCGTTTGGGACTTTTCCCGGGTCGGCTGTTTCTTCCCTCGGTAATTCATTAACTGATGAGCATGATGCCCGTCCAACTTCCCGCATCCTTGGCTCCGCACGACACACGCAGCGCGACGGCAGCGGCAAGTACCTGCCAGTTCATTACGCCAACATCATGGAGCGTGGGCAGGTGGCCTGCCTCTGCAGCGTCTGCGACGGCAAGCGGCGCTTCTCCCTCACGGAGTTCGAGGTGCACTGCGGGGGCTCCCACAAGAAACCCGCGGACCACACCTACGTGACGGAGCTGCGTCTCAACCTGCGTGATCTAGGTAGCATGGCGTGTCGCTGTCTGGGGCCATCGTATACCACGGCAGCGGGCAGTGGCGGTGGTAGCGGCAACGGCTGTGGCAGCGGAGTTGCTGCCGCCGCCGCTGACGCTTCTGGCGGTGGTGGTGGCAGTGGAGCCGCCCGCGCCGGACAGTCGACGCCGGGTAGCCCTACGGGGATAGGGGCGAATGTGAGTGGGCCGGCTGCAGCAGCCGGAGCACGTGCAGTGGCTGCGGCGGCGGCAACTGCTGCCGCTGCTGCTGCAGCGGCTGCTGCTGCAACCGCGGCGGCGGCGGCGGCGGCAACGCCGGCATGCAGCAGCCAGCGCTCCCCGCCGGCGCCGTCGAACACCACAGCAGCAACTGCAAAGTCAGTGGAGGCGGCGGCTGAACCCGCAAGCACAGCCACCGTGGCGGCCAGGACTGCCGCCGCTCGGGTGCCCCCGGCGGCCAACGCAGTCGATGATGAAGTCACGACCGAGACGGCGAGCACGGAGACGGCGTCAACGGCGAAAGCAGGGAAGGAGGAGGACGAGGTGGAGGGCACGGTGGGGCCGTCGCTGGGAGAGGCCAAGGTGGAGCCGGTGGACTCGGCACAGCGTCGGACGGCGTCGGGGGCGGCAGTATCGGGACCGGATCCATCGTCCGAGGAGCGCCCGACGGTTCCTGAGGGGTCCTGTACGGCCTGCCGTCGAGCATTGCCGCCAGGCTACAAGGACTTGGCTTCCTGCAAAGCCTCCGCGCCGCAGGTACATACACCCGATGCCGCCCGTACCTCTTACCTATCTTTCTTTCTTGCCCTGCCACAGGTTTTGTTCGTTGCTTTTCCCTGACACCTGACGAGGATGAACACCGGAAAGCTCATACGCGCGTGTGTATTTATTTGCGTGCCTCTGTGCGCCGTGCGCCTGTCCTGCCGCCACGCGCAGGTCCTGCACTGCTCCTCATGTGGCGGTTATTGCCACGCGTCATGCGCCTCCACGGTCGGGTTGTCGCCAGGAGGCAGCCAGGAGCCCGCCTGGCAATGTCCCGCATGCCGTCAAGCCTCCGCCAAGAAGCGCGTCAAGCGGCCCAACACGGCGTTTGTAGAACGTGATGTGGGCCTGGACGTTGGAGGCAGAGGGCGGGGCCGCGGCCGCAGCCGCAGCGCCGGTAGGGTGGCGGCGGCGACGCCGCCGCCGGTATGCGCCGGGCGTGGGCGCGGTCGCGGCAGCAGCGGCGCAGCGACATACAATCGGGCGCAGTTGACGGAGGCATTTTTCAAGGCACGTGTGGCGTGCTTCAAAGCTGACGGCGCCGCGCCAACCGCAAGTGGCGGCGGCGCGTCGGCATCCGCCGTCACTGTCTCAGCGACAACGGCGGCGGCGACGACGACGGCGGATGAGGTTGGAACCGAGACGGTGAAGGGATCCGGAGCTGCCGCCACCGCCTGTGATAGCCGCGACAGCGGCGGCAAGGGCTCCAACCTTGCGCAAGCTCGGGCAGCGGCGACGTCGGGGCCGCGTGGGGCCGCTGCGGCTGTCGCCGCCGCTCCCGCATCACACAAACACCGTGAATGGGAGGCAGAGGACGGCGGAGAGGACGAGGAGGAGGAGGACGAGGGGCAGGAGGAGGAAGACGGAGTTGGCGAGGAGGTTGAAGAGGACGAGGAAGATGAGGACGATGATGAGGATGATGAGGATTACAATGGCAATCAACGCCGACGCAAGCGTGTCAAGGCTGCTAGCGCGCCGACGAAGCTGGCCTTCGCAATGCCTGCGGCCCGCGGTGGCGGTGGTGGTGGTGGTGGCCGTATTCAGATGTCCCTCCCGATGGGTATGCGTGCCTCTGCTGCTCGCACGTCGGCGTCGCAGCGGAGACCCATTCGCAGCAGGACGCTGTTTGACGGCGGTCCTGACAGCCTGCAGGTGCGTGTGTCTGTATGTCTTGTCCTTGTGTGTACTAGGTACGTTTGCACGTATGTATGTCTCAATGGGATGGAGGAACTTGTGCGTGCTTGCACACGCGGGGTGCAGTTACTCGCGGGTCCCCCAGTAACGCGGTCCCGTCCCGTCACCAATCCAAACCCGGCGATGGACAGTAGGGAGCCCATAGGGGCCCCTCTTTACCATCTCTCCTCCCCTTCCTCGCCTCCGCTCTGCTACCATGCTCCTGTCCGCACCCCTCCCAAACTCCTTGATGCAGCTGGTGCTTCGGACGTCTCGTGTCAGAAGCCGTCCCTCTGCTTCTCTCTTGCATATGGGCATTGCTGGTTTCCCCTTCAGCTGCTCCTCCCCCCGCTGGCCATTACCCTCCATGAATCTCACCTGGACCCTCCCCCGCCGCCGCCCCCGATCTTGCGGTCCCCCCTGGACTCCCTCCTCTCCCTCCGCTCACCCTGCCGTTAGGACGGGGAGCGGGTGCACTACACGATTCAGGGTCAGCGCCTCCTCAGCGGTACGGTGGTCATTGTGCAGCGCACTGCCGGCAGCGGCATCCTCTGCGACTGCTGCAGCAAGGTCATCAGCGCGTCGGCCTTCGAGTCGCACGCAGGTAGGTAGGGGGAAGGAGGAGCAGGAGTGGAGAGGTGGGCCGAGGTTGGATTAAGGGGCTTTGGGTGGCGGGGTTGAGTATGAAATGGTTAGTAGAGGAGGTGCGGGTCTTGTGTGAACGGGCCGGGGAAGGGAACGGTGCCTGGTCTTCTCTTAAAAATAGCTTTTCCCAAAAAGGCTTTTCGCACCTAAGGACATCGTCGCAATCGTGTCGTAACCATTGCCACCATTACAGTCATCAGCACGACCTGGTGCATGTGGGTAATGTCCATCCCTTTCCTTGTGGGCATCTGCAATCCATACTTTTCTCCATTTCCGCGCGCGCCCTCGTCGTCCAACCACTCCTCAGGCCACAAGCACCGCAGGAATCCCTACGAGTCCATCATGACGGACAACGGCACGACGCTGAAGAGGATCGCCGAGAGGATTACGCCGCCCCTGGCCCCGGCTGCGACAGTGAAGGCGAAGGCAGAGCCCACCGCAACCACCACGACGGGGCCAGCGGGATGTACGGCGGCTGGGCTCGCGAGCCCGGCCGCACCCGCGTCGGCGACACCTCCAAAGGCGACGGCCACCACACCGTCAAAGGCGACGGCGATGGCGACGCCGCGATCGCAGCACAAGCACGCTGCGCCTGCCACGAGCTCCGCCGGGGTGGAGGCGGGGACCTCCCACGACGGGGAGGCGGGGACGCCGCTGCCGCAGGTCTCGCAGCTACCTCCCCGCTCCAACATTTCCCCCGCAAAGGCAGCGGCTGCCGCTGCTGCCGCTGCGGCGGCGGCGGCAGCGGCTGCGGTGGCTCGTGCGGAGGCCGGCTCCAGCGTTCCCGACACCGCTCACGCCGTTGGCGAGGGCGGCGAGGACTGTGAGGGCTGCTCCGACAGCGTCACGCTAACGGGCAGAGACGAGGAACACGTGTAGGTGCCTACCTAGGCATCTGGGCATCGGGCAAAAGTAGCATGATCACTTAATGCATACACAGTACATGTCGCAATCAACAATGATACCCAATGCTCCTCCTCGTCGCCACCTTCTCGTCCTCTTGCCCCTTATATGCCCCCCAACTAAACACATATATACAGACAGACAGACAGACAGACAGACACACGTACGCACACCCCTCCAACTATACATACACACATACACACGCCATGATGGTCCTCCGCACCGCAGCTCCGAGGCCCTGGCTGCCGACCTGGCCAGCAGCTGTGTGCTTTGCCACCAGCCCGAGTTCGACCGGGAGGGCTTCAGCGACCAGACGGTGCTCATTTGCGACCAGTGTGAGAAGGAGTACCACATCGGTTGCCTCCGGAAACACAAAATGGTCGATATGCAGGTAGGTACATGTGTGCATGTGTGCGGTTTTTTTTACATTAATCTTGAGTGCCGCGATACGGGAAGAAGCCGAAGTGGGTGCACGATTAACACTGTACCGATGTGAGCTCCGTAGTTACCAGCGACGTGTATAATATGCCGTTTACGTAAAAGCACTGTAGACATAGCTGCGTGAGTCTTCCAAGAAGATGTTGAACAGAAGCGATGTACTGATACCAAGTGCCAATATATGTGCGCATGACGTGGCGGTGTCGTGGGTTCGAGCCTGCGTGCGGCACTGGTAGATCTCGTGAAAAAATTTTACATTCCACAAGCAGCCCAAAACAAATAACGCAATACATGGCCTGCTAGAGCTTCGGTGCTTGGCTGCGGTGGTCATAAATGATGGTGTGCGAATATATGCCAATCCTCTCGGCGCTTGTTGTATGTATATGTGTGTGTGTGTCTCTCTCTCTCTCTCTCTCCTGCAGGCGGTGCCCGAGGGTGAGTGGTTTTGCAGCGACGAGTGCGTGAGGATCCGGGAGCTGCTGACCAAGTCCCTGGAGGAAGGGGAGACGACCATGTCCGGCAACCCCGCGTACCGCTGGCAGTTCATACGGGGGCGGGACGGCACCAAGGCCACGGCACGGGCGCTCAAAACGGTGCTGGAGATTCTGCAGGTGCGTGTGGATGATGGCCTTGCTGCAACCTGCCTCACCTCGCCGAGGCAGGCAGGCCGGCTACAGGACCGTGGCGTGTCTGTATGTCTGTGTGTGCGTGTGCCTGTTGATGTGGCTCAGGAAATGATGGAGGAAAGGTGGTTTGCCGGACGTTCATGGTATTTGCAAGGTCTCGTTTCCCCCGGCCTGTAACGATACGCGGCATTTGCCATCCTATTGGGGCGGGGAAGGGATCCCACCGCGCGGTCAATTTCGTGACGAGAGAAAACTGTAAGAAGCGGCGGGCCTGAATGACCCCTTGTGTCCCCTCTGGCCCTCGTCTACTGGGTTCTTCCGCTTCTTCTTCTCCCGCCCAATCGCCCTGTGGTAGTTTGACCTCCCCCTTCCCCCCTCGCCACTCCTGTCCTGTCCTGTCCCGCCAGGAGTCTTTCGACCCGATCATCGACAACGGCAGCGGGGAGGACCTGCTGCCCCGCATGGTGCATGCCGAGTCGGCTGGGGACTACGACTTCCAAGGGATGTACTCCATACTGCTGCGTTACAGGTACAGGGTGGCGGTGTGTGTGTATTTGTTGCATATTTTCACATTTGTTCATACTCCTTTCCTTTTTCCCAACCTGAACCCCTTTCCTTCCCCCGTTCCCGTTCTCCTTCCCGCGTGTGGTTCGTCTTTCCCCCGTTCACAATTACAGACGCGCAGCAGATGAAATTTGCCATTTCAATACTTTTTTCCTTTTTTCCTCTTTTGTCTATGGGTCTGCTACTCGTCTAGACTCTCTCCACGTGATCCGGTCCCGGGCTCTCCTCCCATGAAGAGCTTCCACCGCCACCACCACCACCATCATGTAACATGGCACAACGTAGACAACAGGCAAACACTTTGCCACCCCTCTTCCTCCCTCTTCCCATGCATTCTTCCCTCACCCCCAACATTGCTACCCGCTACCTCCCCGTGTTCTTCATTCGCCTCAGGGGCGCTGACAAGGAGGCCCGCGGTCGGCCCGTGCTGGCGGGTCTGGTCCGTGTGTTGGGCTCCAGTATGGCGGAGGTCCCGCTGGTGGCCACCCGCTACGACTGCCGCCGCCAGGGGCACCTGCGGGCGCTGGTGGAGGGGCTTAGACACAGGCTCATTGCTCTGGGGGTGCGGGCCATGGTGCTGCCGGCCACGGCGGATGCGGTGGGTGGGATGTGATGGAATGGGATGGGGTGGGGTGGAATGGGAGAGGGACGTGTGCGTGGGCTTGGCCTGTGCCGCCTGTTCTCCTTTAGCTTTTCACCCCTTCCCTCCTTCCTTACTCCACCCGCCCCTCTTCATAATGTGCGAATCTTATGAGCAGATAGAAATTGGTTTTGCTAAGGAACATATCGTAGTAGCAGGTAAATTTATAAAAAAACTTGGAAAAGAGATGGTGGCGGTGGCGGTGTTATGTCTATCATGTGGGGTAATGTTTTTGAAAACTAAATTTCTCCCTCCGAAACCTCCTTCTCGCCGTACACCGCAGCTTCCGGCTTGGCGCCAGCTCGCTTTCATGGACCTTGACGAGGGCTCTGTCCGTGTGGCGCGAGGCGAGCACCGGATGATCATCTTCCCGCACACCAGCGTGGTGGTTCGTCAGCTCATCCGCGTACCCGGTCACGACTCTCAGCAGCTGCCCTCCGCGCACCAGGCCGCCGACCCCGCGTTTGCCGATGCGTTCGCGGCCGCGCTGGAGGATGCGCGCAAGGCGAGCGGCGTCGAGGTGGCGGAGAGCGACGCGCGCGTGTATCGCGCCATGGAGGAAGCGGCGGAGGCAGCGGCGGCTGCTGCTGCCACCGCCGCGCTGGAGGGTGGAGGCCGGGGCCGCGGCCGTGGGCGCGGCCGCGGTCGCGGCCGGTGGGGTGCACGCAGCGCCGCCACGGTAGAGGCAGTGGCGGCAGCCGCCGCTACCTCTACCGGCGGCAGCGGTGGCCTCGGGATGGGACTCGGCTTGGGCATGGAGCTAGGTGTCGTACCAATGGATGTCGACATGGAAGCCGAGGCCATGTCGATTGACGAGATGTACGAGATGCATCTGGGGTTGCCTGCCGCACCATCGCTGTCGCTGGGCGTCGGTGATGATGTGCTGGCGGCGGCACAGCCGTCAGGTGGCGGCCGCAGCCGGGGGCGGGGACGCGGCCGCGGCCGCGGCCGCCGTGGCCGGGCTTACGTTGTGGCTGCGGATATACTGGGTCCTGGTCACACACACGAGGACATAATGGCGTACGCGAGGGACCCGTCGTACAGTGATGACGACGACGATGAGGACTACGGACGTAACTCCCGGGGCGGCTACGGAGGGCGGTGGAAAGGTCGCGGCCGCGGGCGAGGCCGTGGACGCGGGCGGGGCCGAGTAGTGCGCGGGAGAGGGCGGGGTCGGGGTCGGGGTCGGGGGGGACGGGGACGCATGAGCGGCGGCGGCGGTGCGGATGGAGTCGACGGGGAACACGAGTACGGCGAAGGTGCAGAGGAGGAGGGTGACGATGACGGGGAAGGGGAAATCGAAGGGGATGAGGACAGCGAGGAGGCAGCACATGAGGCCTGGCATGCCTTTGCGCACGGCGGTATCGACTGTGTGATGGCTGACGGGGAGGCTGCCCTGGCGGCGGCAGCAGTGGTGGGCCAGCCTGCTGCAACGACGGCACGCTTGATGGCGCAGATGCCGATGCAGGGCGCAATGGTCGCCGCGGCACAGGCTGCCGCGGCAGCCGCCGTCGGTCGGCACACCGTGCAAAGCGGCGTCGGCGTCGCCATGCACCAGCACCAGCAACACCCCCATGCGCATGTATCGCCGCCGCCGTACATGCCGTACAGCAGTCAGCAGCTGCAGCAGCAGCAGCAACGTAGGTCCGACAACGGGCTGCCGGGACTCCCACACTACCCGCACCACCACCATCCGCATCACCACCACCTTCACCACAATCATCAGACCGCTCTCCAGCAGCAGCAGCAGCAGCATCACCATCAACAACAACATCCACAACACTCACAGCAGCAGCTTGCAAATGGGTCTGCTGGCGGTATGTTCGAGGCCCCCAGCCACACATCTGCGGCAATGGACCTCCATGGACCGCACACCATTCCGCAGCCATCTCACCATCAACTGTCGTACCAGTACGGCAGCCAGCAACCGCACCAGTTGGCGCACCGGCGGCTGTCTGGCGATGGCGGAGTGTCGTCCTCCAGGGGGGCAGAGGACACGGTGCCGATGGGACTGCCAGGCGGCAATGTTGGTGGCAGCGCTGGAACGGGTGGCGGCACCGGTGGACCTGTCTCTCATGCCGCCAAGTACAAGAGAGCCCTGGAGCAGTTCCAAGCATCTCAGCAGCAGCAGCAGCAACAATCATTGCACTTGGCGAGCTACCAGCGCAATTCGCTGCTTGGTGGCGCAAGTGGTGGCGTCACTGGCGGAGCCGCAGCTGCGGCGGCGGCGCTGGCTGCGGGCGCTGCGGGCGTCGGCGCGACTTCAACTGGTTGGGCGACGGCGGCGCAGCAGCAGCAGCAGCAACAACCCTGGCCGCTGCAGGAGCAGCAGCAGCAGCAGCGGGGGCTGCAGCACTACGGAGCAACCTCATTCGGGGTTTCCTCAGCCTCGGCTCAGCAGCAGCAGCAGAAGCAGCAGTTAGGTCTCCAGGCCGCCCAGGCAGCGGGTACCGGCGGTCTGGATGGCTGGGGTGCGGCGGCCTCCCGCGCCTTCCCGCCGCCGTCTAGCCACCAGCACAACCCTCACGCTTCTATCCTGCAGGGTCGCTCCATACACCATCACCACCAGCCACAGCAGCAGCAGCAACAACAGCAGCCGCTATCTCAGGGCCTTGTAGGCTCCCACTACCATCATGCGCATTTCCATGGCGCTGGAGCGGCGACTACCAGCGGTGGTGGCGGTAGCGCCGGTAGCACGCACCATCCGTCGCTGATGCAGGGGCAACAGCAGCAACAGCAGTCCCTGTGGGCCGCAACGCAGCAGCAGCAACAGCAGCAGCAACAGCCTGGACAGCAGTACCATCAGCAGCACTCTTCGCCGCTGGCAATGGCGGCAGCGCCGCCGCCGCCGCAGCCGTCTTCTCAGTCTTCCGCAGCTCAGGTCCAGCAACAGCATCAACAGCAGTCAACTGCTGCAAGCTGGGGTAATGCCGTTGTCGACCAGCCGTTTCACGAGCGTTTAGCCGCGATTCAGAGATACCAGCAGCAACAGCAACAAAAGCAGCCGGGCTCCTGCGGGGCCTTGCCCACGCAACAGCAGCAGCAGCAGCAGCAACAGCAGCACGCGCACTCTCAGGCGCACTCGCACCCGCACTCACAGCTGCAAGGCGCACACCTCGCGGGGGGCTACCTGGGGCAAGGCCAGGACGCCGGGCCGTCCTTCGGCTCCCAACTGCACCAACAACAGCAACAGCACCAACAACACCAGGCGCAGTTGCAAATGCAGCAATACCACTATCACCAGCAGCAGCAGCACATGCATGTCGGTAGTGGCGGGGGCGGGGGTGGCGGTGGGGGCGGCCTAATCAGTGGTGGAGCTGGAGGGCTGTCTGCTGCTACTGGAGGGTACGCTCATAGAGGCATGATGCCACCTGGCTTGGATTAGGTCTCGACTGTTGCCCAGAGGCCCTTGGGCTTCGCTCGGCAGCACGTAGCGCGTGGTGGTGCAGTTGCGGGTGGTGGAGCAGGGGGAGGAGGAGGAGAAGAGGAGGGATGTACGTGAGCCAGCCGAGGACTCGCAGTGATGATTTGCGGACCGGCGGACCGGGGGTTGGCGGCGCACCTGAGCTGGGCGCGGTGGCGGTGTTGGTGGCGGTTTTCAAGGGTGGCGCTGCATCATCATGGAAACGGCTGTGGCTGTGTGATGACGATTGTGATGGGAGTGATGGAGATGATGGGGGTGATTTGCTCCGGAGGCAATGAAAGGACGGCGGTGGTAATGGTGGGGGTGGTGGGCAGAGGCACATACCTAGCGCGGAGGCAGGGGTGAGGGACAAAGGGACTTCCTGGGACCGACTGGGTGGCAACCGACCTGGAGAACCTGTCTGTTGAGTTTTGCACACCGTTGGATGTGGTGGTACCGTGTACGGGTTGCACATGTGCGGTGAGCTTTTGTTCGGCGGTGTGTTGATTGGTGCAGGTGCAGGTGGGCAGCGGTGGGTTTGGAGACACTGAAGGGGCTACTTGGGGGTGTGAGAGGGGGGACCTGAGGAGGCTGTGCTGACGGGGGTGTTGGTGGGTCCCGGGGGTTGGAGCCAGTGGCCCGAAGGCGTGAAGTCATGCATGGACAAGAGAGCTGTACGGCGGACGGGCATGGGTGTGGGGCGTTACATACCAGGTCATGAAATGCAGCGCTGCACGAGGCCTTGGAGCTTCACCACTTCACGATTGGTCATCGAGTATGCGATGTGCGTTTGGAAGCAGATGCGGTGTGTCATTGTTCCTTTTCTCCTCCTCCGGTTGTGTATTTGGGGTGCGAAAGCGTGGATATGGTGCAGGAGGGTGGTGGTGATGGTGGTGTATGTATGTGTGTGTGTGTGTGTGGATTGGGGGGCCCTAGAGACGTCCCCTGTTGGCGCGATAGAAACGTAGCACGTGTTCCCCGACAACAGACCAACATACACGTGAGCGACTTGGACGGGCTTTTACCTTTTTAAGTGGCCGCCGGGCGCTACTGCCGCCGAATTTTGATGCGCAGCAAAGTGGGTGAGCTGTCCCAGAGAGAGCAGCGGGGGCAAGAAATGCACCGGCGCCGTTAGCGACGCTCCGGACCTCATTCAGCTCAGACAGCTCCCAAACCAAGCCAGGTGGCTGTAACCACCCTGGGCATCAACACCCGGAGTTATTGAACCGCATGAGGAAACCGTGGCTTGGAGGGTTGTGCCCCAGGGACCTCTCCCTGGTTTAGGCATGTAGGCCTGGAATGGCCGCTGCACCATGCACCGTGCATCGTGTCGTGTGCCAAATTGTGTCGTATTTTTTCCTTCTGCTCGCGCCCCGCGTTGATCGAGAGGTAGCTCTCGACTTGTGTTCTGTGGTTTTATGTGGTGTGTGTTCGGTTGGTTGGGTGCATGGCGACGAGGTCTGGGGGGGGTGGGGAGAGCTGTAGTTACATCACCAACAGCTCTCCATAACACATGAGGAAGACAAGCTTGATGACATGTGCTTGTGGTGACTGTGCTGTGCTTGTTTGCTTGTGGCTGTCGTGACGTTGACGTTTAGACTTTTGTGGTATGCAACGTTCCTAGCTTCACCGGCCACCTGGCTTCGAAGGGCTTGTTAACGCAGCTGAGGCGAACGGCGGCGTCAATATGTTGCTGCCGATGCTCGCTTGCTGTTGCGCGCGGATAGGACATGGGTGTAGGCATGGAATAGACCCAGCACCATTTGAAGGGATTCCGGCTGTCCGGTATGTAAAGCCCCAAGTCGAGGAGCTAAATCTTGTGATGCTGCTGATGTTGGTGGTTGCGGTGATGTGAGTGAGGTGGTGGTGCGATGAGCTGGGCTGGATGCAAAGATAGACAAACAGACAGGCAGACCGCAGGTGCGTGGTTCGGCTTCACTTGATGACTGTGAGACCTTTTGTGTGCGTATGTATGTATGTATGGCGACCGATGCACCTTTCGGCAGTTGAATGAATGCCATGTTTCGTAGCGTGGGAACGTGTCGTGACATGCCTGGTCGCTTTTCGTCATAATGCGGCCATTGCTCCTTCCCGCTGAGACACGACCCGAACATGAGAAGTGTCCGTTTCGGCAGGTGGTTCAGAGACCAGAAGCTATCCACAACGCCGCAAATTTAATAACCGCCTACAACATTCTTTCCCAGCCTCTTGGGGCCTGCCTCTGCAAAACCAGCAGCACCAGCAGTGACAACAGTACCGAGGACGGCATAAAGGCACACGACAAAGAAGGTAAATGTAGCCGCCCCAAGATAAGAAAGTAAAAAAGCATTCCTGCAAAATCAACGAGACCCCAACAAGAACAAAACAAACGCGCCTCACGCACTTCACCCAACATCTTATCCGCGCTCTGCAACAGCGCTCTCTCCAACAACGTTGATTTGCGCGTTGTCATCTACAGCCAAACACCACCCGCAGTTGTGTCGTTGCTGCACATTCCTTCATGTACGCTCTCCCTTCCCCTATCTGGCCCCTCGCCTCCAAAGATACGCTTGATGTCCCCCTCCTGTAATCAGCCCAAACCCACTCTGCCCCCGCATGCCGACGTGCAGGGCCCCAGCAGAGCTTCCTCCTCCCCTCAGGCCCCACACCACCTACCAAAGCTAACCCCATCTGCGCCCTCACAGCCTCCACCTGCCGAGGACCCTATCTCGCTCCTCTGCCCTATTTGACCTTCTTGCCCTCCTCGTTCAGCAGTAGCTCAGCCGGCGCCGGCGGAGCCGAAGGCTCCAGTCCGACCTTTCCAGCGGTCGCGGGTGCCGCCGTCGCCGCCGCCGCCGCTCCCTTCCCTACCTTGCCTGCAGCAGCACCGCCAGCAGCAGAAGAGCCCATCCGTGGCGCCGGCATCGCCCCGGAGCCCACTGCACCGAGCTCCAGCTGTCGTACCCGGTCCCGTACGGCCATGTGTTCCAGCATCAGTTGGTAGAAACGATACAGCAGCCTGCAGCGCCACCGCACCCTCAAGAGCTCTTAATGGGACAGTGAGCGTCTCCGAAACCTCCGTCAGCCACCTGCGACCTGCCTGCCGCGACCCGACACCCCCTGGAGCTGATTTGGGTTTGAAACATCCTCCTCACTGAAAAAGGCCCTTGCCGGACGGCACAGGGGCACCACCACCACCACCACCACCATCACCACCTGGGCAGCTGTTCGGTACTCCGGCTGCCGCTTACTCCCTTCCGTCCCTCCCGGACTCACCCCCAGAGCAGAAACGTGAGTGCCGCGATCCAGAAATTGCGCTCCTGCACATACATACATACGCACGACGAATATAAATAGAGAGCAAATGGCCAGACATCTGTCGGCGTTAGCAGCATTTGCTGAAGAGGGCCGACCCCGCCGGGATGGTGAGCCGGAGAAGCTCAAGCCGGCGCCAGTGAGTGGGAAACGCATTATGCCCACGGGCTCCACGGGATCAGCCGCGCCAGGGAGCCCTCTCGACCGCAACCCACGGGCTGCACCCACACAGTCGCCACGAGGGGCTGAGGCCCAATGGCCGCCTTCCCGCGGAGGGGAAGAGGGGAGAACACATCAACAGCACAAAACCCGCGAATGCGGCCCCACCTGCCCGGGGGCCCGGTTGGGGAGCCGACGCCGGGGCGACGTTCCACTCTCCCCCCCGCGGTGTCCCCAGATGGGATTCCTCCCCACCGCCCTGGGCCCTTTCCCGGTCTCACCTCACGCCACCTCCTAGCCAGGATCGCCGTACGCTGGTTGGGAGTCAGGGCGGGGTCCATAGGCGCTCGCGACAGGTGGTACGTGCTAATGGCGCTGGCTGCGGTCCCAAGGGGGATATCGTGGGGAGGAAGATGGCGGCGCGGGCGGCACATGGACCACCGCAGTTCACCGTTCATTCCGGGAACCACCAGCTCCCCTTCCAATCCCCGTCCGCCGCCCCAACACCGACTCTGCCTACCCCCTCAGCCGCTCTTCCTCCCTCGCGGTTCAGAACTTTCGAATGTCGTGAATTTGCCACACACTTCTCCCCCTTCCCCTCCCCATCTCCTACTTCAATCTCCCAGCTACCCAGCTACCCGTCCTCCCCCCACCCCATTACCCAGCTCACCCCCAAACACCACGCCAGTCACCACCAGGGCCACATGGACCAGCTGCAACTGACCTCCTGAAAAAGCACCCGGGTTGCGTGGCCCCCCGGGGTGGGGGTGTTGGGGGAAGGTTGGGGGAAGGTTGGGAGGGGTTGGCGGATGACCGACAGGGCTTGCGACTCTGTGGTTAAATTGCCATGTTGTGTTGTGTTATTCGGTAAGAGGTAAAGAAACACAGAAGAGGGAGAAGCGATGAGGGACTTGAGGTGGCTGTGGCGCTGCAGCAGTTCCCAGCGAAAGTGGTACGCGGGTGGCCTCTGGCAGAAGAGGAGGGTGGGTCTGTAAGGTTATGAACCTAAAATCGGTCCGTTGTGTGTGGATGTAAATGTCGAATTAAGCACGCGTTGAATGAGGAAAAAAGGTCGCCTGCCGGTGCCGCGGCTAAGCAAGGCAGAAATTTTGGACAACCAGGACAGAGTAAGAAACAGCAGCACAGCACAGCATAGAGCACAGCACAACTTAGAGCACAGCACAGCGGTATGTTCGGAGACAGGCACAGAGAAGTTCAGCGGACGGGAGTTGATGGCCGGCCCAGCCATGCCGCCCCATCATGCCGTCCCGATCTCCGTGGCATGGGTGCGTCCATACCTATTTGGTAGCAAAGGAACTGTCGGGTGACCTTTAGGAGTCCTTTTTTGACGATCCTGTGACAGCGAACATCCGAATTTCCTGTGATCCAATTGCACTTCGGCAAACTGAATTCGCTTTTCAAGCTGCAAGACATGTCAGGAAATCGGCTGGTGCCAGCCTGAGTAAGATGGGGGTTCTCTTATTTAATTGTTCAACATAAGGCGCAAGGCGTTGCAGAATTTTATGATGTCGCATAGTTGCCCTGCAGCAGTCATCCGCTTTAGCCATAGAACAATAAAGCAGCTGCGTTGGCAAGGGACTGTTGCAAACGCCGACACAACTGAATCGCCAAGGCGCGGCACAAGCATCTAACAAATAGCCAGACATAAACGATACTAACAGCGCTAGTGCACGATGCACGAGCGAGCGCCACCGCACGCCGCAAGAGAAGATGCCCGGTGTCCAGTCCTGTAAACTTACGCCGGCAAAGGTAGGATGAGCAAGATTGTTAAAATCAAGGGCGGTGGCAAAAACCAGTTCACAACAATTTTCCAAGCCGACATGTTCGTTACAGACACAAAAAAATTCTACGCTCGTGGTGCAGGTGGTGTCATGCAACCGAGTATCTTGCACGTCGCCACGATACAGTAGCAGAGTAACAAGATGTAGAACGATCAGGGGATAACGGACCACCAAGAGAACAGACGAGTGCCGTGTTTTATCGTACATCTATGGGGGTTGTTTGACTGGTGATCACGCAGACATCAGTTTGTTACAGCGTTTAGACTGTTTGCCGTTTTCGTGCCATTATGCTTGCAAGAACCATGTGGCCCTGTTTTCGTAGCATACCTTGGGAGGGATAGAAGAGAAGTGGGTCAGAGCCTTCAGGGCTCTCTCACAGACATGACTCTGTACTTGCGGTTCAGACACCTGGTGGTGGTTATCCTGGTGCTTACCATGGCTGGGAACCGCGGCGGGCGTGCACGAGTATCGGCAGAAGAGCATGCCGCATCATTAATCCCAGATGCATATGTTATGACAAGGAATTTCGTTGCTAGGTGCGTCGCTGCGTTTCGTCTCAACTTCTCACGTCGTTGCGGAGGGTAGAGTCTCCACTTTACGCGTTACATGCCGTTTTCAGGTACAATTTGAGCGATGACCAGGCATTGGAATTGGAGGCAATCGTATCGAATGTATCATCCACGTGCGAGGTAGGTATGCCATCCCATATGGCATTTGCTTGCAAAAGCATACGTACGCAGGCAGCAGCAAATCGAAACTGTGCTAACCAACAGAACCAAACCAAAAATTGTGAATATTCCCGCAGGTGCCCGTCCGCGTACAGCTCGACTATCTGTACACGATGCTCACTTTTGCGGAGGTTGCCTCGGAGTTCAAATCTGAGCCGGAAGCCTCCGACGTGGGCCTGCTGTTCCCGGACAACAGCGACGTCGTCACCTCCACGGCGCTGTTCCGTTCAAAGAAGTCCTACACAGGTGTTGCAGCTCCCCTCCATTTATTTCACATCACCCAAACCAGGCGCACCCCGTTCGGCACCTTACCGCACTCCCTCTCCGTCCCCAGCACCCGCCTCCGACCTTCCCCTCCCTTCCCTTCCATCCCTGGGCCCCCACCCGTCCCAACCTCACCCTCCTGCTCTCCCCTCCCTCCCTCCCTCCCTCCCTCATTCACTCTGGCGGCCCACTGATCTGATTCGCAGGTCGTGGCGACGGCTGGATCGCGGACGCCACCACCGGGCCGTGCAGGTCGGGGGATTGCCGCGGCAGCGGAGCGGGGTCGGGGTCGGGGTCGCCGTTGGTGGGGGAGGGGCAGTCGGCGGCCTCCCTGGACGACATGCAGGAGCTGCCCACGGTGCGTGTGTCTGCGTGCATTGCGTGCTTTGTATGTATGTGTGTATGTATGTGTGGGTGTGTATGTCTATTTATGTATGTGGGTGTATTTTTGTATGTGGGTGTGGGTGTGTGCATATAAGGTTGGGAAGTTCGGTCCAGGTAGGGGTGGCAGAGCATGGTGGTGGGGTTCCCGGGATTGGGGTATTCCAGGACGGGCTGAAGGGAGTGTTTTGTTGGCATGAAGTCCAGGGAGGGTCTTAGACAGCCCTGGGGTCGGGGGTGGGGTGGGGGTTACAGGGGTAGGAGTGAAGATGCCACATTGCTACGAGGCGGTGCGGGTACGGATACGGGTACGGGCTGGGGGGTTGTATATGAGGGAGGGAGGGAGGGAGGGGAGAAGAGAGAGGCCAGGAGAAGCTAAGCAGCAGACGGAAGGCAGTAGGGGAAGGAGGAGGAGGAGGACGTGGAGGAGGCGGACCGGTGCTTCCCTCGCCAACGGTCACCCCTCATTCCCCCTCCGGCCTTTCCCCCCTCCCCACTTCCCCGCCATCATCTTGGCTGGGGCCTCTCCCACGGACTCACCCCTTTCCTTTCTCCGCGCTCTTGGCCCAGTGCCGCTGCTCCCTTCCTCTCACCGTCCGGGCCCCCACACCTTCCCCTCCCCCTTTCCCCCACACATACATACATACACACACGCCCTCTCAGGATCTGGATCGTACCGCTCGTACCCCCGACATGATGCAGCTGGTCTCCCTGGAGTTGCCCCCGCCCCAACTGCTCATGTACTACAGGTAACGCGGCGGAGGGAGGGAGGGAGAGAGAGATACACAGGATGGAAATGGAAAAGGAACAGATGGGCCCATGGGAAAGGGGCGGGGGTTGTGGTTGCGGTCCTCCCCTTCCCTTAGCCGCCACACCGGTCAACACGACTTACCGTTCAACACGCCACCGCGCATTCCATCAGTCCAGTTATGACTGCCGTACTGTAAGGCCTCCCGTGATCTCTTAAATACCATGCCTTCCTGCCGTACAGGTACGACCTGTTCCGTAAGTATGAGCTCGTCCTACCCGCCACTTGGTCGGATCTGGCTGACTGGGCGGCTGCGGTCAACGGCACCGTGGATGCGGATGGAGACGGACTTGGTGACTGGGCCTTATGTCTGGACACTTTGCCAGGTGAGGCGCTCCCAACCCCTTCACTCCGTAAGCCCAGGGCGGCCCCCCCCCCCAGTGGACCAACCAGCCCCACGCGCTCATCCCGGCCCCCCCTTCCCCCACCCCACCCCACCCAACGCAATGCAATTCCCCCCTCTCCGTAACCCGCGGAGGGAGGGGGGGAGGGGGGCCGGGATGAGCGCATGGGGCTAGTTGGTCCACTTGGGGGGGGGTACGTTCGGTGGTCAGATAGCACGACGGGCTGGTGGCTGGCTGGGTGCTCCTGTCTGTGTGTCTGTCAGACAGCCGGCATGTCTATCTGTCTGTCTGTCTACCTGTCTGGATCGGGCTGGCTGACAGACTCCTCGACCAACTTAATGGCGCGGAAGTCCCCACACGCCTTGCGCCTCTCCTCCTCCCTCCCTCACTGCCGCCCTCTCTGCCGCCGCGGCCGCCGCTGCTCTGCTGTCCCGCGCGCTCGCCCCGCCCCGTGGTGGTGGTGGTGGTGGGTGGTTGCAGCCTGTAAGAGCGGCTTCCTGCTAATGGCCATGATGGCAAGTGCCGTACAGCCTGCCACGGAGTACGGCACATTTTTCGAGCCGAAGACCATGAAGCCGCTGGTATCCTCCAAGGCCTTTACACTGGCACTGGGGCTGTTCAGGTGGGGGAGTGGGGAGGGGAGGGGAAAAAGGGGGGAGGGGAGGTTCCCCTGATATAAGCTCCCTCGACACACACACACACACGTACACATACACACATACACACACATACACTGCTACCCCGCTCCCCCCGGGTGATAACTTGCTTGCTTTCCTCACCGTTGTACCACAGAGCAGCTCTTTTCCGGTCGCGTCCATCTAACCCCACCTCCCGCCCTCCTCGTCTTTTCCCGCTCCCCCCCCTTTGCCCCGGGCCGCTTGTAACCCCCCATTCAGTCGTCTTGCCCGCTACAGCCCCCCAGATGCTACTGCTACAGCTGCTGCTGCCAATTCCACTTCCAGCTTCGACCAGCTTATCGCCTGCCGGCCGTACGAGCCAGCCTTCTTCCAGGGTCGGTGTCTCCTCACAATCAGCTTCGACCAGCTGCGCGCCACCACCACCACTATCGCGGGGACATCATCCGCCGCCGGCTACGGCAACGACACAGTAACCGCCATAACCGCCACAACTACCGCCCGCGGTGCTCTTCCCCCCGACGCTCTGGGGGTGGCTGTCCTGCCCGGTTCCGAGGTGCTGCTAAACCGGAGCAGTGGGGAGATGGCGGCGTGTGGGTCGGACAACTGCCCCAACGCCGTCAGCGCGATGTGCGCCACACAGGTGTGTACGCGTGTGTGTGTGTATACGTATGTGTGTGACGTGCAGTTGGGCTCTCTACTCCTAAAAGCCG